AATGGTTGACAAGGGTGTAATGGGAGGTTTGGTATTAAACACGTCTATCAAAATAAAGCGGGTAATATATTGTCGACAAGGGTGTAATTTGAGGTATGCTATCAAAACATGTCTATGGGGATAAAACGGGTAGTATATTGTTGACAACGGTGTAGTTGGGGTATGGTATTAAACACGTCTATCAGGATAATGCGGGTAGTATGTGGTTGACAAGGGTGTAGTTGGAGGTATGGTATTAAACATGTCTATCAGAATAAAGCGGGTAGTATATGGTTGACAAGGGTGTAGTTGGAGGTATGGTATTAAACACGTCTATCAGTATAATGCGGGTAGTATGTGGTTGACAAGGGTGTAGTGAGAGGTATGGTTTTACAAATGTCTATCAGGATAAAGCCGGTAGTATATGGTTGACCAGGATGTAGTGAGAGGTATGGTAATAAATACGTCTATCAGAATAAAGCGGGTAGTATATGGTTGACAAGGGTGTAGTTGGAGGTATGGTATTAAACATGTCTATCAAAATAAAGCGGGTAGTATATAGTTGACAATGATGTAGTGGGAGGTATGGTATTTAACACGGTTATTAGAATAAAGCTGATAGTATATGGTTGAAAAGGGCGTAGTGGGAGGTTTGGTATTTAACACGTCTATCAAAAAAAAGCGGGTAGTATATAGTTGACAAGGGTGTAGTGGGAGTTATGGTATTAAACATGTCTATCAGGATAAAGCGGGTAGTATATGGTAAACACGGGTGGAGTGGGAGGTATGGTATTAAACACATGTCTATCAGAATAAAGCGGGTAGTTTGTGGTTGATAAATGTGTAGTTGGGGGTATGGTATTAAACATGTCTATCAGAATAAAGCGGTTAGCATATAGTTGAAAAGGGCGTACTGGGGTATGGTATTGAACACGTCTATCAAAATAAAGCGGGTAGTATATGGTTGACAAGGGTGTAGTGGGAGGTATGGTATTAAACACGTCTATCAGGATAACGCGAGTAGTATATGGTGAACACGGGTGTAGAGGGAGGTATGGTATTAAACACATGTCTATCAGAATAAAGCCGGTAGTATGTGTTTGACAAATGTGTAGTTGGGGGTATGGTATTAAACACGTCTATCAGGATAAAGCGGGTAGTATATGCTTGACAAATGTGTAGTTGGAGGTATGGTATTAAACACGTTTATCAGAATAAAGCGGGTAGTATGTGGTTGACAAGGGTGTAGTTGGAGGTATGGTATTAAACACGTCTATCAGGATAAAACGGGTAGTATATGGTAAACACTGGTGTAGTGAGAGGTATGGTATTAAACACGACTAGCAGGATAAAGCGGGTAGTATATGGTTGACAAGGGTGTAGTGGGAGGTATGGTATTAAACACGTCTATCACGATAAAGCGGGTAGTATATAGTGAACACGGGTGTAGAGGGAGGTATGGTATTAAACACATGTCTATCAGAATAAAGCTGGTAATATATGGTAAACACGGGTGTAGTGGGAGGTATGGTATTAAACATGTCTATCAGGATAAACGGGTAGTATATGGTTGACAAATGTGTAGCTGCCGAACTCAACAAAGATATGTCAACAAGAAACTCGTTCTCAATATTTCATTTTTATCGCTGGTCGTCTTTCCTTTAAAAGCATTATAATAAGAAATAAAATGCATTTTTGTTTGATTTGAGGAATGGAATTGTCACGAGGAAAAGTTTAATATTCTGACAGAATAAACATTTTGATGAGGGGATGCTCGAGAGTGATTAAAATATCGTTGGTTGTTTTCGAAATCCATATTACATTAATTAAACTGCTTGAGTATACAGTGTCACAATACGACTGTCACGCTGGTTTAATGGGTTCTAAGAATGATGGAACTTTGAATAATCCAAAATAATTCCTGTGAAATTGCGGGATACGATTTTAACGAGGCTTGTCCTTTTCCATATAAATTATTTTTCCAAATAATTGAAATGCAATCAGGTCATAATGCATTCGTAATTGAACCTTGCTAGTAAAAATCCCTTGGGTATAAACTTACTGTTATAGTGATGAATCCTCTCAGCAAACTCTGTTGCTTAGAACAAGACAACGAGAAAGCAAAGCATCTGTGCTTTGAAAACAAATCAGTTGCATATAATCCTTACAATTTGGTGGATTTCAAGTTTACCATTTTGCAAGAATAATGGATTGCGCATTCTGATATGCCATAGAGAACTTGACAGGTACCGCTGGTTGGCTGTTCAATAGTACACGGGGAAACGTATGCTCAGTTGTGATTCTGAACACATGCAGCGGTTTGCCTGTTCAAAGCGCAGATATAGACAATCGCTGTTGTTTATGTACATGCTACATTCATGTTAGTCTCATATTTTACATATATTGATATATGAAGCATATATTTTGTTCAACCGTTAAGCAGGTATGTGATATAAACAATTCCCAATAATGAAATAATATCTGGGAAAAGTCATTTGGAATAATCAAGTAATCGACAAACCTGGATACAGATATTTTTAGCTTTATATTTAGTATACAACTAAAAATGTACATGTAACTGTTCTGTTTCACTGTGTCTTGGTAAAGGAGCGGATAGCTCCGAAAATTTGACAATCTTAATTTGTCCACACTGTTGGAATTACTACTTTGCCCCATTAACTATATATATATATTTAATATTACAATTATTGACGATACTTCTTTAAAAATATGGTATCATTTAGTCTTTGACGTTATATTGGAAGAACTTGACTTGAAATAATGAGATAACTTATTTTTTTAATATCTTGAGTCAGCTACCGTCGAAATTGCAAACTTCACATTTTGTTTTATTGTATTCTTTATATTAGCTGATATGACTAATATTTGTATTGGTATATTTCAGGACATTTGGATAATAAAAAGCACCGAAAGATGCTCGAGAAAAACTTTATTCCTTTTTTCAAATACACTGACCGATTTAAACTAAATATAGGAATGGCAATGCATTTCTCGCATGAAAACCTTTAATGGTGGCGCAGACAATGAATTGAATAAATGACACAATTTGACTTAAACAATGGAGTTTATGGAATTTCAGTGCGCATTATTAACTCTCTAGGATGAAATCAATTCATCCATTAAATGGAAGGGATTGCTGTCTATTAAGTAAGGAACGGAATGAGACAAATTAACAGAATTAGACTCTTTATGGGAAAAATTGAAGGCTTGCGTTTAGCTATTTGGTTGATTTGATGAGTGGAAGCCGGGCCGATCGGTAAGCAGGTACCTGTCTGTCTAATCCGAAATTCATTTTCGATCAATGACTCACTTAGAGCAAGCTTTCCTTCTCAACTCAGGTGTCTTACTTTTGCAGATCTTAGACTGGAAAGATAACTTACTCCTGAGTATAAAGCCCAGTAATTATTTCGGCACAACAGATAAATAGAGATTGAACTATGACGAAACAACTCCGAAATCAGAAGTATTCGTTCTGACCCCACGTATGGTTATTGAGAAATATTCTATGGTACTATGTGTCCGTGACGTTCTGGACTAAGGATATAAATGTTTTTCTACTCGGGTTAGTCATCTAGCAGAGGTTGACAAAAGAAACGGAAATGAAGCAAAGGTCTGGAAGCCGATGTGTCAAGCGACGCACGGACAGGGCGACTCCAATATAACGTTAACGTAAAATTCTTCATCGGATGTATACATTTTAACGCAGTAAATTTGAAAAGCCATATAATATGTATATATGTATGTGATAAAGTCAGTTGTTTATGGGTGCGGGGTGGTTGTGACGTAAGGACTTGGGAATGGCTCATACCTCTAGGTGATCATCAATCAAAAGACACCCTGGAAATCAATTTTGATTAGAGTGTGTACACTCCCACATTAAAGCAGCTCGACTTTCATTGGTTATAGATGGATCATCCAATCAATACATTCTCACGTGTTGCATAATTAATGGCACAATAAAAAGGAGGCCGGCAGAATTAACGAACAGCTCACGCAAGATACAAGAAAGTCAGAGACGGAGCTCCTTTATCAACAAAGTAAGTACATATCCAACTGGGGGACAAGACAAGTACGACATTTAATACTATGTATAGCATCATGCCGAAAGTATTCGCGATTTGCATATTTCATGCCTGTCTACGTTTTTGCTCTGTTTTTTTCCGGAGTCATTGATTGCGCCAGTGAAACGAAATCGGACAGCCTGGCAAATCATTCATTGGTGTTTTATTTGTCAATTCATTTTGTTTTGCTGTTGAATGATTTGCAAATTATGGTGAGTTATTCCCATGATTTCACTGTAAGACACAAAAAATGGCCTAGTAAAATCGATTTTATCTGCATAACTTGTCATACACCAAAAACAGTCAGCACAAATACATGAAAAACAATTCCTCAGTTTTTTTTATATAGAAACGAATTTTAAGTACGTGGAATTTTGTTTCAATAGCGCCATTTTTAGACCCATAAAAATAAAAACAAGTGTGGTACAAATACATGAAATTTTGAATAAATTTGGAGAAACCGCGAATTCTTTCTGCTGTATGTGTCCCACATTAAATATGAATAATCACATATAATGCTTCCACAGCCTAGGGTTAGAGTTAGGGTTAGGGTTAGGGTAAGGCAACAAGCGCCACTTCATTGAGGCTACATTAACGGGTTTGTACGTCCTTAGCATATTTGAGTGACAACTATTAAAAACAAACTGCAAACTAATTCCTTAAAATCTAGGCTGAACATGGGTTGGACGCGAAATTATGTCGTCAAACAACCCTTTAATACAATGGTGCCAAAAGATGGCACAAATAAATAATTTGTTGAATAATTAACAGCATCTGCATATTCATAAAACTATTTATTGAAGAACAAACTGGCGTAATAAAACATTTCATTTTTCTGCCTGTTCCGTGGAAGATTGCAGTCGTACATTCCAGAGCCAAAATAAAGTCACATGTGTATTCTTTTCTACTATATTCAACGCATTTCTATCCATTTTTTAGAGAATTATTCTTAAATCAACTGTAACGCTACCGAAACAGCCATTTGCACCGTGAAAGAGAATTGTCTGAGTGCTTCTCTTACAATATCTTTCAAAGTTCTTTCGACCGAGATGCCACAAATTATTTTGTTGCGCAATCTTGTTATTTACTTTTTCCAAATTTTATTTAACCGTTAATGGAAAATTATGAATGTATTATGAGATAAAATAATACAACATATTCTTTAATATATATATGTCCGCCTGAAGAAGCCATAGAAGGCAGAAACGCCTAGCGGACGATCTGAAAGATTTATGTTTTTATTCTATAGTTTCCTTCGAAAGGGCTTATTTATTTATTATCTACTATATATTTATATATATATATATGAGCAAGAGTAGAAATAGAAATTATCATACAGCCTATCAGACCTAGTTTGATATCCTATTTTTTGATCTTACGATTCCTACCGGTCGTTTCTCAGTTCGTCAGGTCAGCCGATGAAAACACGTTGAATACCAATCATGTTTAAAACAAACTCTATCTCAGTTTTGAGAATTACATTTTTACTCATTGTGAAGCTTGGTTTAATATTGTGCTTACTTTTGCAAACAGTAAAATCGAGGAAAGTAGGATTTAATTTTATATCAATTATGTTAGGGTTGAAATATTTGTACCAATCAACTAGTGATTATTCTTTACCTGTAATAATACTTAATTAAAAGGATATTGGCGAATGATTTACCAATACTGGTCTACGAAGTAAAGGTGATGTTTTGCCAGTCATTTTGTTTTAAAATTATTTATGAGTATGCATATCGAGTTTACATACTGTATACTTGTTTAATTTTGCGGCCTAATAATTCGCAGTTCTCCTTATCAGAACTAGTTCGCGGGTTTTTATTTCGCGCAACAAAAACCAGGTCAAAACAAATCGTGGTCGCAAGGTTATATTTGTGTTTGGGACAAGCGTTATATCAAACTCACTTAAAATATGACTTTGACATGTTTTATCTTTATTATTCTGCAGTAAAAAAATGTCACTGTATATTCATGAAATTAATATTCACTTTTGTTTTAATTTTTAAATCTTTTGTGACAGGGAATATAGCGAAATAAAATCTCATGCGTTATAAAAATCATAGGAATTTGAGAATTAACGATCAGTTAGCAAAGACTGTGTAATATTTATTGATTGAGACTCCATTTTGTAGTATATCTTATATATGTGTTTGTTTTCATTAAGACAGGAGGAAAATGCGTACTTACGTGGTAGCCGCTCTTGTAGTTGCCGTTGTGGCATGTCTGACACTCGGAGTGTCTGCTGGTGGCTACGGATACGGACACAAAGGGAAAGGCGTGTACCAACATTACAGACCCCCTCGTTACGCGTATAGATACATTAGACAACCATATTTATTGAATGGGAACTCCGGGTTCAGCCAGCGATATATATCTGGTTACAACAGTGGTGGTTTATATGGTTACAGAGGTGGCTTCTACAATCGATCGGGTGGAGGCTTAAGTTTAATCTGGTGGCTTCTTATCGCAGGTTAGTATGTATAGTTTGGTGCGTGTAAGCACATCAATTAGATAACTTGTATCATTTGGCATATCTGATTTCATTTTGGTGTAAAATGAAAAAAAACAATTACTACAATGAAAAAAATTCATCCGGAAGAATCATGCCTTAATTTAATTTTCATCGCTTTATATTGAATATGAAATTCTGAAAAAAGACGCATGTATTTTGGTTTTTAACTTAAGAATAGGAGTGGGGTTAACGTGACGACTGACAAATGATAATTTCTTTCGACCGTGTTCATGTTGCAGTCTATACGTAAAGCATTAACATCTGATAATAATCGAGAACAAATCTATGTTGATATCAGATATTTAGTTTGTTTAAACAGACAATCAATGATCGATCTATTGTGAATCATCTACAAACATTTGTTATAATGAAGTTCAATTAAATCCGATGAGGTTACTTTATTTTAAGATTTGGGGCAGAAATCGTGATTACCCATTTTACTGGCGACGCGACAGTATAATCACAATGTTCTGCTTCAAATATCAAAATAAAATAAGATTATCCCCATTCTAATTCCTATTAGCAAAAGCCACCGAATGCAACTCCGTTTTTATAATCGCCATCAGGGGTTCATATGCAACTGACAAATTTGCAGACGGTATTTCGTTGTTATACTAACGCAAAGAATTTCGATTGGCCAATCAAATTTCCGTTTACATCTCATACGAATAATTACCATAATACTCTCACTGCACCCTTTGACAAATACATTTTGTCCGGGTGAATTTAACGGATATGCTTTAATCCATATTTGATGAAAGCATACATCGTATCGACACCATAGTCCAGTAACTCTATAATAATCGAAAGAAGGACGTACCGATTGTTTCAAGGCCTTAAGATTTGTCTCCGTTGTTTTGGAAGCTCTTGTTGTTGTATCCTCTCGGTTCCTGTTGTTGTCGTTCGTATAGGTTATGTATTCCGCTTGTGTGTCGACTCCTGTTTACCTTTTTAGGATATTTGTTTAACTGTCGAGAATGGAATGCTTTTGTTGAGATACTATTGTGTTAGAATCGCACGAAAATATGTTTCTGTCGATAAGAACAGGTATTGCAATTGCGATATAGATATTTCCGAATTGTCGTAGTGTTTGTATGTTTCCCCACAGACTATTGTCATATCCATTGGAACAAACTGTGTGCCTCTCTTGGCCAGCTTGGTTTCTTTTCTTTTCAAACAGGCTGAGGTTATAGAACTTATCGGATTAGATTACAAAAACCTTGCTGTGTCCTTCATTTTTACTTTGAGATATATCTATATCAGCTGCTATGTTGATATCTATTCAGGAATGATTCATCCTGCGTTTTCTGCTTAGAAAGATGGATTTGATTTTCTGATCAAACACATTCATTTTCTTGTAAGAAGCATATCTGCTTCTCCACCTATGAAGGTATTATTCCCATATTCGATACTCGCTTGTTTTGAATATTACCATTTCCCTAATTTCGCATGCTTAATGACAAGTTTTAGACACTGGAATTCGATAAAAGTACAGGAAAGTGTTATGGTCCCAAACATTTTCCATTTACTTGTTTGATATGGTTATCACGTTTCGATTGAGCTCATTAGTGTGTCTCGTAGTTTTGCTGTTGCTACCCTTGTATCATTTTGAGAACTTGACATTGCTAGGACTTGACTAAGATTTAAATAGCGGGTGTCGTCGACGAATTAGAACCTATTAGATTAATTATCCATTCCGAACACTTGATCATTTCCTCTTAGACATTTTCTAGAGTGTAAGTCATCCTTTTTCATATTCTAATTTGGTCGATGTTTTGTTTTCCAAAAATTTATTTAAAATCTTATTTAAAAGCTTATTTACACTCAAGTGTTCTCTACCTGTTTTTCATGGTTCATGTATGCCTTTACCCAATACACAAATTTCACTTCTAACTTTTGTTTTTCTTCCTTTTGCAGTTGTCTTATTTGCCATTCTTGCTGACAAATAAGCAAACGAAAGTGTTGTATTACAGGTAAGCAATTAAATAACGTATACTTATTTTGTTTCACATATATATAAATTTATATTAAGTATCAATGCCTCCCATTTCTATTAGAGTTTATATTCAAACCCTTTGAGGTTATGATGTAAACGGAGAAATATTCACTGCAGTTCCATTTTCGCCATTTTAAATGAGGGCGAATTTATCATTATAGCGAACATCGGTAAACAACATAATATCCATAGAATGAATGTGAAGGTCGAATCTAACACTGAGCAAAACTGTCGAAAGACGAACACTTTACAGGACGCAAATTTCCCAATGTACAGTGCATATAACTGCCCGCAACTGAGGTAATTATGTGAAGCGCAATGTAACTAATATGAGGTTTTATTTCTGTTATAATTTCAGGGATAAACTATGTTTACCCTACGGCTGACACGGACTCCACACTTCTCTGTTCATTTGGACCTGCTCTGAATTTTCGCTCCTGTTTTCAAATAAAGAAAAGTATATGCATACTATGTGTGATTTTTTTTTATCTTCACTGCAGTCAAGATATACGAAATTTTATATCTTCACAAGTAAATACATTATTCTCATTCTCCAATCAGAACTGTTTTCTTTTCATTGCAAAGATTTTTAGTTTCAAGTTCAGATAAAGCGACGGCGAAACAAGTGGCTATTTTTTCTACTATTGCAACATACATTATGGTATTTAAACAACTACACCATTGATATCAATTTTGTTTGAAAATCATCCTACCAGATAATAGTAGCAACGGCAACAACTACATTGAGAACCCCATTCGAAATGGCGCTCTGCATTGTTGTCAAACGTGACGTCATGAAAACCTGACGCTAAACATTACGCTTCGAATTCCTGCACTTTTCTGATGTAGCAATATTTGCTTCGAGTTACTGAAAAAAATATATTAAAAAGAAAATTTAATGACTTTCCCGTTGAACACTAGATATGTATTTCACCCGTTTCAAACAATTAAAATTATAACCAGAAAACTAATGTTATGGCGGAGTGTGTTTTCGTAGAGAGGTAACAACTTCTTTGACAAGTATGCTCCACCAGATATTAATTCAATTAAAAGGGGGCTTTAACTGACACTTTAACTCAGAATACAGTTATTAGTTTATTTAAAAGTGCATTATCAAATACAATCTTTGTAAAAAAAAGACGGCAAGTATAAATGATATTTTTCGTACAACTTATACTGTATGTTCTCTCTTGGGAGGTGACGTTATTACCAAATTGTTGACATTCAAACATACAGTAAAACAATGTACATGTATGTGCCTTTTGGAAAGGATATTGAGCGTGAACAGAATATTCTAAACGTTAACATTAATGCCATTAATAATCGAAGAATAAATTCAAGTGCGCAGGATCTGTCCCTCGTGGTTGTTCGGCTGTCAGTAAGTGATTTTCCTCTAAAGCCCATTGCTGCATTTTTTTCTGTATTATTATCTATCGGAAACAATGAGAGATGACGGCACAGATTAGGTTACGTGAGGCCTGTCCAATGAAATCACGCCCGGCCACGCTTGCTTAAAGGTTGGTTAGGGTTTGACGACTGGATATGGAACATTTTTGAATATGAATACAGGAAAATCAAGAACATCTGATATCTTTCTACTGCTTTGTTTCCTTTTAAACAAACTAGATTGATATATTTGAAGGGTTTATTTTATTTTAAAATCATTTGATTCCGAATGATAACAATTTGATATTTCCACTGGGTAACGTTAGGCAACCGGGGCCAGGTGGTTTCCAACATGTAGATTTTATTGTATGTTTACCGTATCCAACGCAACGTATAGTGGTAATGGACGAAATACGACAGTTGTGTGATCGCACAACGCGCCAAATTATCGTGTGCATATCGTACATGCATCGTGCGCACACCTCCCCCATATCGTCTTTACATAGTGCGCATATTTGTAGCATGTCATTACCTTTAAATGACGATAAAAGCAAAGTAGTGAACCGATAACCAGTTAAATTTAATGACAGATAGGTCGTTGTAAATGCAATTTGCATACCGAAGCATGCCACACTGATTTACGTGCTTGTTCTCGTGTGTACGCTATGTTTACCCTTTTCTTTTCCGTGATCCTGAAAAAAAAAACGTAAAATAAAAATAAGAAAAGAAAAACCAAATACATTATAAAATTACATATTTTAAATATAGATATGAAATAAAAATAATGAGCCATGTCAACATAATTCTTCAAAATGTGGTGTCTCAATTATTTTTTTTTAAGAGAAAATCGAACTTATGCTTGATGTCGAAGGATTACATATGCCAATTAAAAAAACCTCTCAAGTTTTGGAATTTCATTGAAAATCGGAGAGCAAAATATGAATATGTTTAGTACTTTGCATTCCTTTATCTACTGAAAAATATTTTTCGATTGCTTACAAATACCCCCATTGCTATTAAATTAATTACCCATATATGTTAAAATGTAGACATACGTTCAAAAATCATTTCAGTATCAGTGTTTGGGGGTTTCCAAATGTCCGGTTCCATGTCAAAGCGCCTATCAGTTATCCTGGAGTATTCCACTGTGATAACGTCTCCCTCGTCCATCGTGTATGGAGTTGTCTGAGGTACCAGTGTTGTGTACGTCATCAGATCAGGGTTTTCACAACGGAAATGTTTCACGGTGAAGTTGTCGAACCTTCTGTCGATACTGTCTGACACGAATGTTATATTCCATGTTTTACGACGCTTACACTGCAAACAGTAAATAGCAATAGTTTACTGCACGTTACATATAACAGTAGTCCACGTGTTGAAGCCTGCATACACTATATATAACAGTAGTCTACGTGTTGAAGCCTGCATACACTACAAATAACAGTAGTCTACGTGTTGAAGCCTGCATACATCTGTTATCAAAGGTTACCAACCATTACCGACAATATGGATCAGGAACGGCAACAGCAATCACAGATAGAGGTGATAAAGTGTGACAGCAATATTTACAAACAATTATCATCAGAATGTTGTTACCAATTATGACAGGAAGATAATATAAAAGTGTGGACAACCAATACAATAAATGTTATCCAAGTATGGCAAACAAACACTGTAGGGCACTGTACTCAAAATGTGGACGACACTGCTCATCATTGGTAGCTGAAAACAAAGTGTTGACAAAGACAGCTGGGTCCAAAGTATGGACAACAAATAGCACAAATAAATAAGCCTGTGGAAATCAGACAAATATCCACAACTGTAGCTGAAATCATTGATTTCAATTTCTCATGAAAATCTATATAGGCATACTGTTACCCATAGCAAAGCATCTACTCACTACCGAGTGTGTTCGTTCTTCTGCTAAATAATTCTGGACACCAAAAAAAACCTACAAATCTTAAATGCTAAGCATCTTTTTCTCCGAAATTGATGCATATGCAATTTAGTGTTTGATTTTTCTGTATGCCGAGAAAACTTCATTCAGTCAAATTTCGCCCTTCACTGGTAGAATCTATTTCGCGAAGTGTTAGACTCGCCTTTCAAATGTTATTATTATGCAAAGTATGTTAATTATGTACTTATTTTCACTGCTGAGATAAATTCGCCATCATCATGGAGGGCGAAAAAGGCAGAAGTTAAACTGCGGCGAAACTTTCTCGGTATACAGTACTTTACTGAATATTACTTCCGGGTCATGTTAGTTGAAACCGTCGCACTTGAATGAATCATTTTCCTACCTTGAACATCCACTTGCATGTGAAGTACTTCTCTGTGAAGTTTCCATTGATGATCATTCGCCATACCCTCCCCTTGAAAGCTGTTTTTCGTACTTTGCATGCATCATGTTTCTCTAAAAGGACAAGTGATCATACCTTATACGTTCGTATCAGTTAAACGATTAATCCTATGGCAAATATTGCATAACTGCTTTTAAATAATTTTCCCCGCTGCACTCTAGTTTTTTTCAATCAACAGTTATCTACCCCTTGACTCCGTTTTCAATTTACCTGTAGCACACTTGGTCCATGACACTTCGTTGTCCATATAGCGCAGTGGGTCAGATCGATAATATAACATTTGGAGGTGGAGTGTTCGAATCTTGTTCTAGCCAAAACGTTATTTTTGCTCTCAGAACGCTATTGTTTATTATATATGTTTTATTTATTTCATCGCTATAGTTTTTTCATGAAATTTCCTCAAAGTATACTTTCCTTTTCAGAAATTATCTATCTAAACTATAGTCATGCCAAAAAATAAAAATATGTTAAGGGTTATTGCATTGGTACGGGTATCTTAAAATTGAATAACGTAATGATGAAAATATAATTGACGTAAACAAGTACCTTTTCAAATAGTATGGTTAAGATATACTTCGGCAGTCTTATGGGGAGAGTCACCTGATTGACTGTTAATGTAAATGTATGCAAGTAGCATGTAGTTTCGGGTAAAATAATAAAATTATTAAAGATCATATTATTCGTCTCACCTTCTTTCAAACAGTGTTTAGGTTTCCCAGGCTTTTTTATTGAACGATACGTGCAGAAGTTATGGGAATTGTTCGATGGCACGAAGAGTTTCGATTTCTTTCTGTCACACATTTTACGGAAAGGACAGAAGTATTGGTGATCTGAAAAATAGAAAAAGGAGAAGAACCAGAGAAAAATACAATGACTCACTGTAATATATATATAATATAATAGGGGCTCTCGAACGTACTTCAAAATGTATTTGTTAATAATTCACTGCTAGAGATAAAATATATCGTCTTGATCGCTTGAATTAAGTGATACAGTAGAACCTTGATAGAAAGCTATTTGTTTCTCTTGCCACTTTGCTCTTAGCCAACATAACAAAATGTACTTTTGCTCTTTTTCTTAAATTTATCCTCAAATCTTTTATAGTGGAAAATACATTCTGGACGAATGGTTGCAGTATTACGAGGTCTGCTTTCGTAATTTGATAATTAAGCTTAACATACAGCATCTTTCTAATTTTAGCGCATTTGATTTGTTTATAAGATTGCCGTGTTCAGTTTCTTGCAATGATCTTATGATTCCTCCATTGTGGATGGGTTGAATCAACATTCCATGACGCTGTACAGTTGGTCGTCAATCAAGCGCGATGAACGCGCCTTAAATGCGATAATAATACCTGTGGGAAATTACAATTAGCATACCAGAAGGTATATCAAATAAATTAAGGTTGCTTGCACAGGTTTTTTTTTCTTTATTAATAATAAGTTTTCCTCGATAATTTTTCTAAAGAGCGGCTAATGGTTTTGCAGTGTTTAAGCATCAAATAAGCATATTCTTTTAAAATAAACCAAAATATATATTAGCCTGAAAGGAGTCTTCTTTTACCCCAAATAAATCAAACTGTCCTTCAAATAATTTACTCTGTACATGCTACAACTTATTTGAGCTGTCTATGATAGTATTACGTAGACGGTACATTCCATCCGATCACATCTCTCGACCTTTTGTCATTTGTTACCGAAACAAAACAGTAATTATCCGAACATTTATCGCATACAATTTGCAGTTAATGTCAAATGCATTTGATTATATAGCAATACGTACTGTGAACGCACGTAGCATGCATCCCTTGCTTGGTTTTGATGACATCTTCTAAGTCAGACAGCGATGAATAAGTTTCACCAACCTTGAGGACTGTAAAACCAAAGTTTTGTAAAGTATATATATTACGATTTGTCGAAAGAAGTGTGGTTACATCAGAGATACTATTATTAAATATTGAACAATAAACTGCCTGATATGAGCATAACTGATGTTTTGGTGACGGATCGAATGATACATTGTATATGGATTAAGTAAATGTTATTTAATCTTTTTAGAGCAATTTTGACACTAAAACGTGTTTGGTGTAAAATGTGTATTAAGCAAGATCGTATATTTCAAGCGACACATATCTCAGCTTTATGAATCGTTACATGACCTGGGATATTTCAAAAAATATGTTTCTTCTACACGTCTATGAAACAAATTTGAGTCCTTATTTTGTTTCTGTATGCTGACAATTCCATACACGAAGTCTATGATAATGAAATGGCTATCTCTTGCTGTAGACGTCAAAGAACATGTCGTTGTACTGGTCACAGGTAACAGGAATGTCGTTTTACTAGTCACAGGTAACAGGAAAGTTGTTTCACTAGTCATAAATAGGGAGAATGTCGTTTTCCTACTAGTCATAGGAAGGAGAAAAGTCACTTTGCTAGTCACAGGTAGTAGGAATGTCATTTTACTAGTCAAAGGTATGAGAAATGTCGTTTTACTAGTCAGAGGTAAGAGGAATGTCGTTTTACTAGTAACAGGTAGGAGAAATGTCGTTTTACTAGTCACAAATAGGAAGAATGTTGTTTTACTAGTCACAAATAGGAATAATGTCGTTTTGCTAGTCACAGGTAGTAGGAATGTCATTTTACTAGTCAAAGGTAGGAGGAACGACGTTTTACTAGTCACAAATAGGAAGAATGTCGTTTTACTAGTCAGAGGTAGGAGGAGTGTCGTTTTACTAGTCACAAATAGGAAGAATGTCGTTTTACTAGTCATTGGTAGGAGGAACGCAGTTTTTCTTGTCACATGTATGAGAAATGTCGTTTTACTAGTCACAGGTAGGGGTAAAGTTGTTTCACAAATCACAAATAGAAAAATTTCATTTTTGCCAGTCACAGGTAGGGGGAAAGTCGTTTTCCCAGTCACTGGTATGAGAAATGTTTTACTAGTGATAAGTAGGGGAATATTAATGAAATTAAATTGCTTGTCTTGCGACCCTACAATGTTGAAACAATGAACCGTGAATTTCAGCAAATGACAAAAAAAAAGTGTTTTACTTTAGGTCACCCCGTCGTATTAGGAAAAACACTATCAAGATCTTAAACAAATTTTCTTACAGTCAATCCATTAAAAGGTTAAATATTAGTTAAACAGAATGAATTTTCACCAGATGGTTGTTTATGCTGAGTTGTAATTGATTCCTAATGACCTGCATATCAACGTCACGATAGGGTATTTTAATTATTTGAAAGACATTTAGCACATCGGCCATTCATTACTTCGGTAAAACGGGCTTGCGCATCGCATGAGTACCGTTGATTATATGTTAAAAGACTGATAACATATTTTATAGTTTAGTCGCATTCCCCTTATCTTCATCATACAGAATAAAGATTCTACATTCGTAGGTGGGTTTTTTTACCCTCAACAGGAGTAAAATTAATTGGGTAATGGACAATTTAAGTAAAAAATAAATAAAGTAAACTTACATTTGTAGTAAAGCACGAAACCAGAACCACCTTTTATGCTATTATCTGTAAACTTAAATCCAAACGTTATGTTGACGGGTCCAGTTGTGAAATTATGAATATAAGTCATAGATTGCTCTAGTTCTACGTCTTGAATGAATGCAGTGTTAAAATCATCACCGATATCCAATGACGCAACGTAGATAGCAACGCGGCTGAAATCTCTCCGGGTCTGCAGATACCCGTTAAATGTCACGGTGCACCTTGGTGCATAACGGTTATTCTCGATATGAAAGACGTCCTTGCCGTATTCCCATGGAAACCGTTCGTGACTCCTCACTACGCCAGACGGTTGGTTATGGCGTTGTTCTATGTTGATTGAATGCGTCTTGTTTCCAGCGCATATATCTGAAACAACTATAAAAGACAAAAAAATATATTTTCTTTCTGTCTTAACCTTCAATTCCTCTGAAACAAAAGTTAATGTAGAATACACCGTTTCTTGTGCAATTTCTAATTTTAAAAGATAATTTGACAAACACAATGAATAAAATATGTTGCTGCTAATACAATGTATCAATCAGAGGAATATATGTGATGATTAGAAATGCAATATACCTGCTTTCTGAACACATTTCCAGTCCTTCACCATGACGTTCTGCCATTCCGACGACGGACATTTCGTTCTTAAACTAGTAGAAGGAAACGTTCTATGAATGGATGATAGATCAATAAGACATTTGCTTTTCCAGTAGCAATTCAAGATGTCGACGCGTAAATCTGTGTATGGTATATCCACCCCGTAGCAGACGTGCCCAGCTTTACAAGACACACTGGTAGGGTACACATCAGGTTTGTATATCACATATCCAGGGGGACAGGACAGTTCAAGAAATTCACAGAAATCTTTAGTACTCTTTCCAGCACAACACTGTTTTAGTTTTTTTGTAGAAACTCTTTTTGCTGAACCTGAAAACATGATCAATACATATGATATAACTTTGCGGCGAATTTATTACATACACATGAAAAACTGTTAATATGATAAAAATGTTGTAGATGTTCGATGAACATTTCCCCCAAAGAGTAAATAAACATAATGTAATAGTTTTGTTTTCCAGAAAATCAAACATGACGTTTCCTTCTCTTACATGCACGATAGACTCAAGAGATGATAACATATATGCAAATGAGCATTTTTAAAACTATTACAGGAACTGTTGTCTATCTCCCTCCAATGCAATTACTAAAAGATAGAGTCTCACACCTTATGATACCTTCCGAGAGTTATCGCCTTTGGACCCGCTTAACATTATTTCATACTTACCAATAATTGTCAATTATAGAGTCGACCAATGGTTTTTGATATATACAGAAGTGGTGTCTCCATCAAAGCTGACAAATGCTATTGGATGCTTACATAATATTGTCCCTCAAATCTCGAAAATGAGCCGCGGCATTTTTTCGTTTTTAGTACGAAATCCCAAGCTAGTTTTCAAAACCGGACTATCTTCATGGACGACTCATTTAGACTGTAAGGTATGGAAGTTATTTTTAAGACAGTCTTATATTTGAAGCATTTTAAACAATACACGACGTAGTTGCATCATTGGTTAAGATTATTACAAGCATTTACCGTAAAAGAATCGTGCAAGTTGCCCAGTGTTTTAAACCTGAAATAAAGTATTGATTTAGGGGGAGGGGTGCACTAATAACCATAAAGCCATACACGTGTCAGTTTGTTATTTCACCATTGGCAGCAAACTGACTGCAAGAATCCAATGTTTATTTTCAAGGCCGGCCTATTTTCGAAACTGGCTTATGTTCCAGATATATTTGACTGCCAGGAATTTCAGGCTTATTTTAAAAGCCGGCGTTTTTCAAATTAGGCCTATCATCAAGAACTTATGATGAGAAGGTTATGATAAAACATAGTGTTGTCGTTATCAAAGCTAACGAATGGAACATACTACTTACATGTAAGAATTCCTAACAATATTTTTCTCAATCAAAGGCGTTCAAATGTATATCATGCCTACCGAAAGTTGCCTTATCAGACCTGACCAACGCTTCATGTTATGAACAAAGAGGTGACCCTATCATAGGTGTCAGATATCGCACGCTACATACAGTGAGTGTTATGTTCGTGTCAAAGAAGACACTACAACAGAGAAAATTCTCTCTGGTAAAGCTGACCAATACTGGAAAAATGCTTAATGTAATTTACAACTATAAGAGTTGAACAACACTGCAATATGTTTGCAGAAAGGCTGCCTATATTTGACCTGAACCGTATTACGCAAAACGAACAGAGCGTGTGTCTGTCAAAGCCGACAAACTCTGCATAATACTTACAGAGCGTGTGTCTATCAAAGCCGACCAACTCAACATAATACTTACTGAGTGTGTGTCTATAAAAGCCGACCGACTCTACATAATACTTATAGAGTGTGTGTCTATCAAAGCCGACCAACTCTACATAATACATGTACGTATAACTTACAAAACGTTATTGCAAAGATGACTAACAATATCAGATTGCGTCTCATTGAACAAATTCTACCAACATAACTTTGCACTTTCGAAGAAGTGTTTCAATGTATCAAATCTGACTTATTGATAATTACGATGATATATTTCCATCAAAGCTGACAAATACTACGCGATACTTACAGAGTGGTGTCTCAATCAACGCTATCAGGAATATGTAGCCGAATAGCGGACGCATAGCCGGTGATTTTCACATGTATCCTGGCATTCAAAATAGGATCAATAATCTATTTTACAATGATGATATTTTCTGGAGATACTGAAACCTTCCGTAACGATATGCTGTTTACTCCAACGTGAGTTTACGTAACGCCAACACAGGCTATACGTACAATTCTTGATATTTATAGTCAATGGACATAATAGAATGTGGCAAAAAATGCAAGGTTAGTCGAATTTACATATCACTGACGAGGATATCTACACCAGCAGAAGTGTATAGCGTCTAATCCTATATCGTGCGAACAGAGTTTGCAACTCTGCTTCATTTATTTAAAATCCCGTCATTGTATATTCTCATATTATTTTCTCACTTCTGTTCACAACAGGAAAAAAACGTTTGATTTTAGTTTTCAGACAAATTTGTTTTTTTGTAATTGAACAGTGTTTATCGGGAATCGAACCGTCATCCCAAAATGTCTTTTTTTCTATTTTAGAATTTGTAGAATTTTCAAAACAGGAATCTGTTAAGTTCATACCATGTCTAACGCGTTTTGTAATAGTTCTGGTGGTTTCTTTTAGGTTTCATATATGAATTATTTATTGTACACTGTACATGCTTTTTGCGTTTCATTTCCATTTTTATTCTTGGAATTGTGCATTCTATCTAGATTGATTGTAACATCTAGCTGCGGTTTTAGTTTTTAAGATCTTAGTAAAATGTAACCGCTGAATATTTGAAAACGATTTCAATGCCTGAAAAGGCTAGACTCTTAGTTAGTTTGGCCCGATAATGATTGGAAGTACGACTTATATAAAAGCATAAAACTCATTCACTATTTCGCTAGCAAGTTGAAATTCTATAAGATGATGGTGATGCTATACGAATTATATCAAGTAATATGAACATTATATTGTTATACTATGTGTAGACAGAATAAGCGTACATGTGTTACTGTTGTTGTTTTGGGATAGTTCTCATTGATGTTGTTGTTATTGTATACATCGGTGCATTCGAGTCTGTCTGTCTGCTCCTCTGGGACATGTTTTAAGGTGCATCAGGACACTTTGAGATCGCCATATACGGTCGAAAAAGAAAGTCAAGAATTTAGAACAAAAGCACCGTTTCACAAGCGATCAAATATATGAACTTTTGAAAGTAGAACTTAATAAAAGTATTGGTGTGTTCATGTTCTAAATATCCTACTTTATTATAGCGGAATCCGGTATTTTGAGGTACAATTTTACATATCGTAGTAGCTGTGACGCACAAAATTTATACCCGTAAACTGATGAAAATTCAGTTGGGTAATATACCTCTGAATGCGCTGTTATATGTAAGGTTTGTCGTGCCATGGCGGGACTTTAATATAATTATGCAGCGCGTACATTAGATGGCATGTTTTCAATCCAACTCCTTACCACATTTGCCGCCATCACCCATATTATGTATAACATGAATGTGTTCATAACACTACCGTATATCTGTACACATTTCGGCAGAAATGCACACTATACAAAAAGGAAACATATCTGCCACTTATCCAAACCGATCAATGTCAGGATATATATAACAACCACATAATTACCTTTCACAGCACTTTACTTTCGTTTTAGCAGCCATCTTTGAACTACTTATATTCCTACGCCATCGACTGTTTCCGAAAATAAAACCAAAACTACCACCTGTACGATTATTCTAAATAATACTTTTTTAACTGATTTTGCTGCAAAAACATACTTTCCAAGTTTCGTGAAAAAAATAATAATAACGGGGTTATTTGGCGAATCAATATCCGGTTTAGTGTTGCAGGTCACATGCTGACAGCCAAGATGAACATCAGTTCCTTGCAAATACGATCGACATTGTCGATTACTCTGTTTTATAGACAATAGGTATGTATATGTGTTATGAGTTATTGTGCATTATTGGGTTTTTACAATGAAAATCGGATTTTTGGTATTGAAAGAGAAAATTTTCCACGTCTGTGTTGTCAGTCGGTCAGCCATGTTTATAAAATGAGGTATATTTTCTGCTATAAAATTACATGTTATGTTGTATGTTGTTGTTTTTTTTATGCAGTTTGTTAGTAAATAAATTACTTTATTATGTTACCAAATCATTCTATTGTTAATTTTGCGCTCATAACGGTATTTTGTACGGAAGCCTGCAGATAGTCTCACCGGTCTCATGCATGCACTCCATGAGCAATGGCTCATTTATTGTGAGTTTAGCTCGTTTCCAGTTTTTAATGTGGAAATGGGGATATTTGTTACCATGTGGCATATAATTGCAAATATATAAATTAATCCATCCTGTAGTTTAAATATTACGACATGTCTATAGAAACATGGTATAAAAAAAGGTGTATACTATTGTAAGATTGTACCTAAACAATTGCAAACAACATGTCATATGGTGTTTTGGTATGTGACAAGTACTTTATTATAGACAGCAAAAACTTATTTCTATCTTCTGTGTTTTCAATTATTGGATTCCAGATGTAGGCGAAAGTTTACCCGATTTGTAGGCAGGCAAATTTCCCATTTCTGGATCATTGATATTGAAATAAGGTATTTTAGAGACATTGCTTTATTTACTTCCCTTAACGGAAATAAAAGACATACTCGGATACATTGAAAGTGGTAGTTTACATGAGGTGAATAGATGAACACTTTGGAATGTTGTTAAAAGAGTAATATCATATCTAACGAATCCATTAGTTGGTGATGTACCTTGTACAAAACACCATGTCATAGAAAAAAAATGGCAAATTATTGCGAAAGTGTGTTTAAAAGTATATGCAAACAGACTGGCATTCATGGGTACCCATACTTTTGAAAATAATCCCAAATATGGCCGACTTTGCAGAAGAAATAACATGTAACTACATGTTATGTGTTTTGTCATATCAAGTCATATAGTCTTAAATCGGACTAAGTAAGAGTGGCAAAACATGAAGTTGTATTTAAACTTCATATTTATTGTTAAATGATGAACAGTAGTGAGAAATTCTGGTGGAACAAATGTTTCGGTTTTGGTTCCAAGACTCTTCAATGATATGTTATGTGAACATTTACCCTTAAAACTAATATGCAGTGATGAAACACCATATCCTGACCTTCATTTTGATATATAATAATTTACATTTTTTTTCCCTCTCTTTTTCCTTTTTTTTTTTTTTAAATAAGGGAGCAAAAAGTGTCTTGATGTACCTGAAACAAACTTCAAGGTTTGCGGTCAGCTTGGCGATTGGTTTCAGATGAAAAAACAGAACTGACCAATCACTAGGCTGATACCTAGCATAGGAGCGACTACCGATTTCAAAGCCAGTCATTTTTACCGTTACTCTTTCGTGCAACTCTTTAGATGTACATCAAACTAAAATCTCCACCAGTGGCAGAGACAGCCTTTGATTCCGTCATGAAATATTCTAGGTTTGCAGAGAACTTAAGAGATCAGAACCCCTGGAATATCGAGGATGCAAAAAGTTATCATAAGGGACAATAATGCGATAGTATCTTTAAAACACGCGTTTGCAATCTGCAGTTTGTCACATATCAAATTCATGTTCAGTTATATGTTTGAGGTAAGATCAAGTGGTATTGTTTCTTACAACTGAACCATTGCTAAACACTGACCATATGTTATAAACGAGTTATATATTTCTAGCAGTACTAGTAACATCTATGAATGTATCAACGATGTAAAACGTATTTAAGTGACACGTTTAACTTTGCTTCCTAAAACAGAACATACATTATTACGGCATCAAACCGATTGATAAATCAAAAATAAAACCAAATGTTGATATCGTTAAATGACGTGAAAGTAATATCACGTGATTATTACACAAAATTTACCGCAAAATTGACAGTTTTTCTTTAAAATGTGTTGAGCCACACCATTAATAGAATATTATAATGGTTTCCTGTTGACAACCACATACATTTTACTCGCATTGCAGCACAATAAAATAACAGCTATACTCGTTCAGTATATATGGTATTCGCATGATACATCGTCCACATCAGCTGCTTTGAATATCCAGTGGGCCTAGTGTTTCCTGTATAAACAATATATTATGTTACCAGACAAAACAAAACAAAAAAGAGTACTGAAAGACATTTTTTTTTTTTATTTGATACAATATTCGATTATTCATTTGCATGTGTTTTGAATAAATTAATAAATTAACACAAATTAGAAGAATCATCCAAATAGTCGTGCATTATTTCCTTTCGATAATTCTCAGTTGTATGCACAAATGCAAAACTACACCTACACACCATATTTGAAAATACATATATAAATGTGTATGGTTCCTATTTTAAATCATAAATCACTACAGTGTAAGTTTCAAATACTTAAAGTTTACAAATAATGCCGCTCCGATATAAACACATGTGGATATTTCATATAAATAACAAATGTAGGGAAGTCGATATCATGTAATTGAACACATATTGAAGTACCTGTGGAATTGTGATGTATGATTGATGTAATTGCGGACAGCCTTCTGTTACATCTAATATACAATGTATCTCTATCGAATACACAAACACTAACATCTTCATCCTCTTTACAATCGTCGTAAAACAAGCATACATAACACAATGATATGTGTCTTGATCAAAACAAAAATGTTATTGTGTGTCGACAGATAAATGCAGAGACAAAATATAGCTATTGCACATGTTTGTGTATACAGAACACAGAAGGATTTATAAAAGGCATACATTTATCCAGTCAGAGCCAATGTCATAATCTATATGTCTACAGTGTAATATCCATTAATGATTTTCTTATTATTATTATAGAAGCAGCAAGAGCGACAACAACATCTTATACAACCTTTATAAAAGTATGTATTTTTGTGAGAACAGTTATGCTACGTAATCGTATAAATAACCACACACAAAAAATACATACTGCTAATGTGCAAAAAGAAAATATATCATTAAAAAAATGAGAAAACACCAAGTGTCTCTTTAAACGTCTACATGTAGACATCAGTCAATATTTAAAATGGTACCTCAGTGAAATGAAACATATACTGTCCCGCGAAACGCAACATTCAAAACAGGAGTGTACACGGACGTTCGGGGTCTATGATATTCGTATTCTCACACCTCAGATAGAGATATCCCACGTCATACCCCATGCTAGATTTTTTTCCATCTCGTCTTATTTGTCTAGTACCTATATGCGACATTTCGCGGAACTTTTACGCAGCGATTTAAGCATCTGCGCGTTTAATGCTCGAAATTGATAATGTTCATTAGAAATATTCTGTTTTGTCGTTAAAAGTATTATTTTGATGTTGTTAGATTCCTGATGTTCTCGATTAAATAGAATCTACACTGTGAAATGAATTGTCTTCTTTGTTAGGGCGGACAATATTTTACACGGAAGCATTCAAATGTAACTTTAGGAGTGTAGAGGCCATATGTATTTGAGGCCCGAGACGGGACGCTTGTAGTCTTTAGCGAAATTGATTTTTTTTCGAACTAAAAAGTGCGAGATAAAAAATCAATAACCTGTTACAAGTAATATATATTATTATTGGTGTAAGTTCTGTACATAGTCTGTTGTGAGACGGTCATTTATAACTCTTACATACATGGTTATCTACTGTATTGCTGTAAGCAAATCTTGTCCGACTGTGACATACGTATACCAATCTTATGATATTGTCGTTTTCCGACACCAATATTTCGAAAAAAAATCCTAAAAAGTTTGAAAATCAAATTTGGAAGTTGTGATGTACTACCGTTATTAAATATAGATATACTGTGATAACGTTTGTACCACTGTTTAATATGTCTATCTGTACTTTTGTGGTGAAATCATCATACTATTACTTTTAACCTGTCGATTTCGGCTGTTATTTGTTTGTTCTGTTTTGTTTGTCTCGTCTTATAAATATTTAAGGAGGTGCCAGGTATTGAGGTCGAGAAAAGCCGGAGTTTTCGGAGAAATCCACCGATCTGCGGCCAGTAGTTGGCGACTGCCCCACGTAGGCCTCGAACCCGCGACCCAGTGGTGGAGGGCTATAGTAATGAGGACCGTCGGACGCCTTAAACATTCTGCCACCGCGTTGTACGGTTGTGACATACTTATAAATGTAGTATTTTTCTTGCAATGTCCGTATCGATTGTGTATGACTATTTATGGAATTATAAATATATGTATTATTGTTGTTGACAAAAGAGTTCAAGTTGTGGCTCTACAAAAATATTCGAGATGCAGTCCCGTTTATGTTGGCAATGCTTATGCAATAAAGTGTTTAGTGTTTCTGTGTGTGTGTCACCGATTCCGTACACGAAAAACCAAACTTTTCTACAGCGAAGTCATTTTCATTCTACAGTACATATATTGAAGCAATAAAATGCTTATGGAAATAGAAATTGTCCTTTCCAGGGTGAATTACTATCAATGCCAACTGGAAGCAGTCCTGAATTTAATACATATACTTCACGTTCTCTCATAGTCACCGTCATCATCACGGTAATGTCTTTGCTGTACCGGTCCCTCTCGAACGTCGCTTGTTTCTTTCGCCACTCCTAACCTTTTTTCTATTTTTAGACGTTCCTGAAAAAAAAGAATTATAAAGTGGCATGCACAATCGACGTTTTCGTATAAAAGGTATTCGATATTTGTAATGTTTTAATTTTATTATAAAAAACAAGGTTTTGGGGTTATTTCATATTGTAGTGATGTTCGACTTGATATAAACTGCATTGTAAATATTTCTATTGATTTCCAGCAATTGCAACGAATACAAATCTACTTCAAACACATATACAATATAAAAAGTATACTTAAAATAAAATGATAGATTCATCAAAATAATACTATAATTTGGGTCAATAAAAGTGCCATGCTTGGACAAAAGAAGCAAAAAGATAAATTTAACATGTGACTAACGACTTACGTTCATAATGGAGTATAAATCCCGACCCTGCCTTGGATCGACGTTTTGTCGAGAAGGTAATCTCTACGGTACCTCCTGACAAAGTTTTCGACATGTTCCCATCATTGCCTCTGAATAAAATGGTCGTTTTTCGCCCTTTCCTGATATGTCTTAGGAAGAAGGTGTCCCTTTCATCGTCTATGTCGACGTCGTCCAGTTGGAGGGTCAGCTGTCGGCCACGTCCTATCTGTTGACAAGATTGACATGCTAATTAAGTATTTTTCAGTGTTATATAAAGTTCTCCATGAACGTGCTTTAGTTTGCAATTAGAGTTTAGATCCTTTATGTCAGTCGTTATAATCTCTATATCCTTTCATATTGATAAGCTGCAGCAATTCGTCGTGTGAATGGAAGGTCAATCCTGTTATGGGAGATGATGCTTGCATCATTTTATTGTTAAAGGTAACGCTCAAAGCTTCAAATCATTTTTTTGCATTGATTTTGGTTATATTTACTAATATTTGCGATTTGTTTTGCGAAAATGTCCTTAACAATGCAATAAACCACTGTCTTCATTTCCATTTAATCTTTTAAAGTTTTTTTGGGGGAGTATAGATAACACATGGGACACACTGTACGTACAATTTTAAATGTGCAAATGTAGTCTTTGGTCTTAAGTTGGTTCATAGATATCTAAATCTAGTGACAGCGTTCATTCTCCTTTCAGAAAGCGATTACAAAACATAAGCCCTTTAGCGCGCTACAAACTCGCAATACATCGGAGTACCCAGCACTGACTGTTTTTCTGAACCAGACGCTATTCGCCGACGTTATCTAGACTGATACCTAACCTACATGTCTTACAACATCCTTCAACTCTCTCCGTAACACAACATGTGCCAAGGCTTTGCCAGCCTCGGAAGCCAAACACACAGAAATAGAGCAGCCGAACAGTGCACACGTTATGTCGAAATCATGTATAGTTTTGGGCCGTGTCCTGACGGTGCATGGGTATACGGTATATTAATGCTGAATTGAGTTTGCTGCAAAAACATGCGAAAATCGAACGTTTGTTTTATAATAATGACGTGGAGGTTCTATATATGCGGCACTGTAAAGTGAATTTAAAGAGATTTAATAGGAAATGTAATAGACGCAGGCACTGGGTGCCTCTCTATCCATACATTGTATCAATACAATGTACATATGAGATTGTAACCAGCCAAATGACAGTATTTAAGTACTCATATGTCAGTCGTACTCCTAAATGTACTGAAAGAACATCTGCATCATTGATATTTCATATTAATCAAAAGGATTTCAATTCGCCATACTAATCATATTTAGACGTAATTCGTGCCAGAATCGAAGCTAAGGATATTACATGTACGATGATTTGCTATATTTACCCTAATCCGCTGTCGGCATCTTTTGTTCACTCTGGGGTAGTGCCAGGGATATTTGCCGTGGCTGCGGACAATACCGGTCGGCAATTTTGCTACTCTGGTGTCACAAATGTTAATAATGTTGCCTGGGAAAAAAACCAAATAATATTTGTGTAATACACGTTCTAACGAGAAATATATGAACTCACATAAATAACGGAGTCATGTCCGGGTAATCATGAATGGTTACCTTGCCATGGTGTGTCTTCTATCAAACCCAGAACTCATAATTTTGTCCCGAGACATGATGTAATACCCTAATTTGAAATTACATTTATTTCAATTTCAATGTTTTCAAAATTAACGTTAATATGTATGCAACGTTTAATGAGAGTTTCCGGTATCGGTGTCTCTTATATCTTGTAGGTGAAGTTCAAGTTGATGTGGAATCATCTTAGTTTGCTTATCAGCTGGTTCCTTGTACGTAGGGTTCTGATATTACCTTTTAAACAAGCAACCCGTGATGACCGAAATATTGTAAGTGTCGATTCATATATTTGAGATAACGTTTATTAATTAATTACAGCGAAGAAAAACATTTTTTGGCAAACTAATAATACACACCATAAACGTTTTATAAATAATCTGATAGGTCGGCAGCGCTGTTTTAACTGATTTTGTCTTTATTTAAGATATTTCTCACCTTCCTTTTCACATTTGAAGCCTCTGCTTTTAAAGATGTCAGCAACACGGCCAAAACAGCGAGCTGATGACGTCATTGTAAGGAATGCTGGTCCTCGCCATTCCATTGTACAATTTCTACGCCAGTAGCACTCGTTACGCTGCACGAGAAGGTGCGGAGAAAGTCCCTCACATCCGGTATATCTACTGCTGGTGACGGTTACATCCGGGGCGTATATAACTTTGCCTCGAGGACAGGACATCGAAATGGATTGCTTGTCATTCCATGTCATGCTAGTCTTCAACGTTGCTGAAACCAGATTCAATAAAATTTGGACTAAAAACCAATAGTGGATGTCGATGGTTTGATCTGTTTGCTAATCAGACATAAACAAGACGCACGTGATCACTATTTCTTCGAGTGTGCAAAAAATATTAAACAGATAAAGACTACATCAACGAACTCATAAATTTCGAAAAATTCGCTTGCATTACACTTACTCATGCAAATATATCAAAATCACATTAAGTATACTGCATGTTTGTATACATTTCCTAAATAATTTATAAAATGTTCATACTGAACACATGAAGGTTTTGGATTAAACAGTTACATAATCTTTCCTTAATTGTATCTCATCAAGATAGATTCTTATTATTATAATCATTATGATTGTACTATTATCATAACGACGATAAGACATGTGATTACTACACATATCACATGATACTCAATATTTGATGCATTTTTACAAGAGTTACTCCCCCTACATCATTGTATTGCATATCATAACACATTCACACACAAATGATGATCCAGATTACGTATTACACTGTACAAAATATATTGCATATTTCCCTCCGCTATCAGCAGAAAAACGCCTATGCCGTTGAAACGTGTCAATTATTTCGAAGAATTTTTCAGAATTTACGTCTAATCAATAACATTAGTTAAAATGAAAATACATATAACATATATCTGCCAAGCGGTATATATATTGAAACAAAAAACAAAAACCCAACAAATCTAAGTCACGAAAATATTTTGCAATAGACTGAATATAGCTCCTGGACTATTGATAATAACAAAAATAAGAGTCTGTGACATTTAATCCAGCGGGAAATTAAACCGCTGTAGGTAGATTACGTATCGGGACTATCACGACGTGGGGGTGGGGGTGGGGGCGGGGGTGGGGGTGTTTACTTCATATGCTTCTCACCACAGGAACTAAATAAAATACAAATACTAGCAGGCCTAATGTCACTTGACAAAGGCATGTTTACTTTTGAACTTTTGTTTGTGAGTTATAACAACACAACTGTTGAACCTACTGGCATCAGCTACTTGATTATTACTAACATTTCATAGGAAGACGAACACGTAAAACCGAAAATACGATGTCAATTCTGCAAATCTAAGACGAAATATCTAAAAGGGTATACCAACAACTATGAGGATCAGTGACAATCACAAAACCTGATCTATTTTTACTGCGAATGCCTCCCTTTAAAATAGCCGGAAATTGTACTAGTAATCGAAACAGGTGTCAGGTACAAATGTACTAGTAATCGAAACAGGTGTCAGGTATTTCTGATCGTTTACTTCCGTAATCTAGTTCAATTATATCCTTGTTTCTCTTTCCGGTATCATTAGCTATTCGGGCTGATTCATTTACTAAACATCTGGCAATAATACTAGTGCAGACCGGCAAATCTAGCTTGGCGTGCTCGCTTAAAAAAGTGGAATAAACGTGATCGAACTTTCGCTAAATAAAATGTTTTATCCATATGTTTACTTCCCTTTACAATCTTCCTCAGTAACACTCCTTACTTGAACAAGCCCTGAATACACCAAAGACCAGGACATCTTTTATTTTATTTATTTTTTGGAATATTCATAACGTTAACTACTGTCATGGTAAGAGTCTTTGACATAAAACGTCTATTCTAAATAAATAATAGGTAAGGTCATTTCATTACAGATGAGGAAAAAATACAAACAACAATTTGTGGAAGCATTTTTAAGAATTTTGAAATAGTATTTAAGCAATTAAAATAATTATCAATAATATTATCTTCACTTAATTGAAATGACCCATATACTTCTATTTCATAGAAATTTTGTATTGTAAATATTCTTATAGTCAATTGAATCATTAGCTAGACTATTTTCACTGTCCTTCAACATTTGAATTATTGAGCAGTAATGGGACTTTTGAATTACTGGGGTAAAATCACCCTCATATCATGCAAACCTTGTTGCTAATCGTGCATATAAAAGATTGATTGAAATGAGGAAAATGACGTCACTAATTTGTTGCCGCGACTTTATAATGTGCGTGACCCTATAGAGTAGAAATAGTGAGAAAGATAACTGTGTACAATTAAATCAAGGATTTTTAAAAAGGCATATAAAATACCATTATTGTACTAATTTTCGGACAATTTTTACAAAACACAGAAGGCCAGACTGATGCGTGAGAGGAAACCCAAAAACTCACTTATAAATCTGTTGTAAGCGGATTTATGTATCGGGCATTTGTCTTTGTAATTTGAGTGGTCACGTGATAAATTAATAAAGTAAATATGCTTACAGTATACATAATTTAATAATTCGTATCAACAGAATCTACCTCCCACGACAACAATTCAAAACGTATAGTTTACGCGAAAATTACAGTAACAACAGACAATAATTATCAAGTAACGCGGAGAACACCTTGTCATGAATGTCAACGTTTTATTTTCACCGCCAGTAACTGTATTTTGTTTCAAAATAATAACCAAATAAAGAACGCACAATACAAGAAAGGGGACAATAGGTCATTTGAAAAAGCTATTTTCACAGCATTGTAACCTAGCTATCAGGAAAACAGATAAGATCAGCATTGGGAAGATCAAGAACTTTTATATAATCATAAGTCCGAAATTCTATAGACATTGGTATTGTTGTAACAATTGATTTATTTAATGTATTGTTATTATTGTATATTTGAGTCCGGTGTAGAGTATGCTGTACTGGTAATAAACTTAACTTAACATGTATTTATTTTTAGATAAAGTTGTTACTGTTTACAATATACTTATTTAGCTCCTTTGTATTATGTATAACACACCTGGACATTGGTGCAACTGAACCTATCGCTTACGTTCAAATTGTGATACTCCTAATATGAACGTATGACTAAATTATAAACACATAATGAAACCACCAATATACATATTCCGAAAAATATGTAATAACCTTAAATATATTTCGATATAAATTTTGTATGTCACCACCCAGCATCACTTACCCTCGTCTGCTGGATAACCGAACTACTCGGTAGTGAAGCGGACGTAAAACCAATCAACCAATCAATCGATCACTTACCTTGTACGAGATAATGCGTTGGAGTCTGCGACGGTTGGTCACTCGCTAAGCGAAGGTTTCCTTGCGTCGATTTTCCAATAACTTTCACTGAAAAAAATGTAAACAATTATTTTCGAAGCTTTGTATTTTGGCTACTTTAGAAATATAATTTCATTTCTCTTAGATACAAAATCAAAGGAACAGTCATCCAAAGGTGTATTAACGTTTACTTAGAATGCACAAGTAAATTATCTACATACTGACAGACATGACCCTTCGGTGTCTCATTTGGAAGTATTCATAGCTGAATTAATATGTGCATCATTCCTGCCAAATATGATGCAGTGCACGGGAACGTATTCCAATATCGTGTAATTCTAATGGTTTCTACATGACCCACTCTTGATTCAATGTTAATTGCCAAAAAGGAAAACTAAGTTGTCAAAGTTATAATATCCATATTAGATCGAAATTTTAAAGGAATTCCGCGTATGTACATGAAATACAAAAGATTAAAGTAACGTTGTCATGTTACACAGTGCAATAAAGCATGATTCAGTTTCACGTTCCATAACAAAAATATTCGACAAGGGGGACATATTGTCTTTGTTTGCGAGTTGTGGATGAGGTAGGACACCATACTTGTACATAAGTCCAGCACTACGTAAAGAAGTTGATAGACAAGCTCAAAAAAGCCTAACCAATGTTAATGTTGTAATAATAATGCGAAAACAGGCTTCATCATCATCATCATCATCATCATCATCATCATCATCATTTTCTATATAAGACTTAATACAAAAAAAGTTATAGAGATTAATAATTCAGTAAAAAAATAATAAGTTACTGAGGGTTTTGTTAAACAGGATACATTGCACATTTCCCCCTCAAAGAAACAAAGACTTACCATTATAGTATACAACACAGCCTTCACGTGTTGTGTCAGTGTTTTGTGGGCGCCATTTTATCTCAAATTTGGAACCCTTTTCGGAAAAAGTAGCGAGTTTTTTAAATGTTTTCTTTCTTAATTCCCCGCTCTCTGAGGTCCAGACTACTCTAGGTCGATTTTTAAGTCCAATTTGAATGTCCAAAAAGTTGAGTGATAACCTAATGACGTCACTCGTACTCCCAAAACGTCTAATGCATGGTGTGTTAATGGTTCGTCCAGGGTTGTTGTAGCTACTGATAATACCACTGTCGGGGTTAATGGGTAGGGCTTCGTTTCCCGAACACATGTCGTGTATGGTACCTACAATATATTAGCAAACATAGAATTACAAAGCAAATTATATATATACGAACACTCATCACAACCAGTATGTTAAATAGCGTATAACAAATTAATGGCGAAGTCACTAGTACTGTGTTCAATTATGTGAACGAGCAATACAAAATGGGGTGGTCGGGTGTTCAGTGGATAGCGCACTTGCCTTTCACCAAGGCGACCGGGGTTCGATTCCCCGTTCAGACGTGAAAAGGTATGGGGTTACCTGCCCGACCACATGGGTTTTGTCCGGGAACTCCGGTTGCCCCCGCATGCTAACATCCGGCCCAAATACAAGTGATTAATATAAGTTGAAATAACTTGTTTCATAGTAGAATTAAAAAAAATAACGTTTATAAAAAAATAACTTTTGCAAAACATTAAAAACTATATTTATATTGAAGATTTGAATGTTAAATGCATACATAATGAGTGTACTTAGATATAATTCTGATTTTATCAGGTAAAAATTAGAATTAAACCTACCTTTATCGACACATTTTGGGGGAATGACAGACACATATGTCAACGGTTTCCCCTTGCATATTTTTCTCTGTCCCGGTAAGGGAACAAGTGTCTCCAGAATTCTTCGTAAATTTATAGAACAAGTCTCTTGGTTTGCGCATGCTTGAGTCTCCCTTTCCAGTGATTTACTCATTCCCAGACAATCATTTCCATTAAAAACGCACTTGCTGCTGTCTGAGTACCCAGCTATGAGTTTAGGTGCCAGCATCACTTTGTGGCTGGGACAGGTGATATTCATGAAGTCGGCATGTCGTGTGACGCAGCGCGTCAGGAATTGTCCTGACCGGAGATCCGACACTATGTGAGAGAGAAAAAAGTTCTATAAACATGTAATAATCGAATTGATATCATAATCAATATTTCGTTCTAATTAAAAATCAAAGGGACAATCGAGTGTTTGTCACAAATATGCAACCGTTTTTGCACAAACCAAATGTTCACTGTGGAATGCGTCCAAGGTCACTTCACGTGTCCTCCCATATCTCCACGAGTGACAACATGCAGTCCTGTTTACAAACTAGTTTAAACAGTCTATAATTATGTGTAACCCCAGTGCTGCTTTAATTAAGATCCTTTAAACAAAAGTGATGTTTGTAAACAAATTTTAGTGATTATCTGAAAACACTGAATTCCATTGTAGTACGTTTTAGTGACAAATATGATTGGATCTGTTAATTTACAAAGGTAGTTATATTTTTTCACATAGAGAAGTATAGCAATAAATACTATGCATTGGGAAAATTTCATTCAGTCAAACAACTGTATTCACTCTCGCTATATACTTACTACATACTTATGTTGTGTGCTAAAATTCAGCCTTCATCAATTAATCCTCATCACCAATGGCGAAAAATTCTAAACTTACACTGCAGCGAACATTTTTCGGTATTCATGTACAGTATTAAAATACGAATGAAAGCAATGACGTGATATTATCATTTCGTCTGCATACGTAATATGGAATGTATTATGTCAATGTGGTGTAGATACGTAACATGTAATGTATTATTCCCCCCGATAGTTTAGATAGACTTACCCAACTCTAGTTATAGAACCACGTGATCACGCTTAATTACGTTCGTTTACCTCTATAAACGTGCGAGTTTTCGTGTTTGTGTTCTGGATGTTGTATATGTGTTCAAGATTGTCTTGGTTCAGTAGCTCCAACGGTTCATTCATGGTGTCATTTACCACTTGAATCCTACTATACAGTGCAGATAGCCCCTTACTCAAAAACGGAACCATACCCCACCGTCTGAGGGTCATACTGTAACCTATGACTTATTGGTCATTTGGCCGAACACTAATAACTTCGCCATGCAGTCGCTGTATGTATTTTGGAGAACTATATGCATACATGTTTTAGTATTTTCTCACCTGTGACATTGATTGCGCTGGTGATCCCGCTGAATACAAGGACGCTCGCGATCACTACCAAATTATCCATGGTGGAGTGGTCGTATCCCGGACATTGCGTCAATCTTATATAGCATGGTACAGGAAGTATCCAATGTTGTAAACGTCCTCATTTTAAGGAAGTATGTCATTTTCGAGCGTCTTATATGTTGAAATTTAAACAACACTGTTAATTTATGGTAATTGTCTCTCCTAAATGGTATTTGATTAAATTTAAGATGTGAAAAATATAATAAAATATTCTTTTAATTTCTAATGTATGTGTTTTTCATAAATGAAATACTTGTTATTTTGTTACACATTACAATATACTGAGCTACTTGGAAATGCGCAAAATATTATCTGAAACAATAACGAGAGATAGTATCTACCGACACACTTCAGAAAGCAACTTTTTGTGGTCGGATACTTGTATTAATTAATAATGTTGCCATCTGCCAATATCGCCCAAAGGTCAGAATCAACAGCAAAGACATGCAATTCCTTATCGATTGTCTTCCTGATCAGTTATATCACTTTCGGTTCGGGACAAGTTCCAGTTTCTGTTCAGTGCGTTTAGAATATATAAAAAATAAGATTGCCCGATACGAACGTCACCGATACTTTCCCATGTATGTACAATGCTGAACACGTCGGTCGTTTATAAAACTGTATTCACATAATCTCATTTATCCCGGAAGAAAGTTTGTGGACAAACGACTGGTGCTTCTACCCCTGGTCTTCCTGGATGGATCGTCCAATCCTAGCTCTAATGCTAGTACAAAAAAAATTCATTAATTCAAGGTTAAAATTAAGAATTATTATATCCCCAAGACCGAAATTATATGATGCAGAATTAATAAATTATCTTTATCGATTACTTTGGAATACACCTTTGATTTTGCATGAACAACACAGTGAATATATATCCGATGGTAAAATCCGAGCTCAAAGTAGATTCACAAAGACAATAACAGGAACAGATAAATATTTCATAGTATTTCATAATGTCACTTTTATGCTGAATCAATAACAATTTGTTAGAAAATGCATTTATCGATACCACAGTGTAGTTTATTTTGTGTTTTTATCAATTATAGTTTAAACTGTCGATAGCTACATGTATCTCTTTCATAAGTTCAAAAGGTCTGTAATTCCTAATTCCTTTATCAGCGCAGTCTCTATTAAAATAAGCGTTTATATTCTACCGTTGGGCGTTCTTCGTGTATAACACAATAATGATATTAGCACTTAGAGAATAACTTTCATATTTGTATATTATGAATATCAATTTAATATCAGTGTGGAAAATGAATGTAAAATAAACCGGCGATAGACACATATATGTAAACAATAAACTGTATAGAGTATCTTATTTACATGAATAACGATACACAAGGCTCTGTCCTGATATCAGAGCAGTTAACGTCTAACTAGGTCAGCTGAGTATGTGTGGTGAACTAAGTGTGTGTGTGTGTCAATAGAGAAAACACAGACAAGGAAGGAAACCCAGGAAGACGCGTCGACACATGGTACAGGTAGCATGTTAAATGGCTACCAGGTAGCGTCCTTTACGAAGTATTGATTGACACTGACCTACATGTGTGAATTTATGAAAATCATACTTGGAGTGTTAATATATGGGGTAAAAATGATACGGAAATTGTTTATGATGAAATAATACCGAAACTAGCGAGTCATCCATACGTAACTGTGTATCACATAACCATTGAGCGCATTATAGAAGGAATGCTTCATTCAAAATGCAATATCGTCATACTGTTAATGTAATTTATAAATAAGTATCTAGAAACACAGATAAATTTGTAAACATAATATGAAGGGGAATATTTCTCTTGCCAGAAAAGCGAGAATTTGAAACTATCTTAAGTTTTATTACACATATATTGTAAGAGTTCACTCCCTTAAATGTGCATAACGTACTGTGCTTATTTGATATACACCGATACACACCATGCTGGAACTATTTTACAATGTAATAGAAGTAACTGTTTGATGAAGATAGGTACGGTCAGGTATGGTCCTACTGTTGTATTAATTAATTGTATTCGTATCTTCATATATTATATTATTTTTATCACACTTTTCGTATCTGTTACTTTAAATATTTACATACCGGTATCTGTGTATCAACCCTAATTTTGTTAATGAAAATATATGGGAATATAAATAATAACGTGCAATCTTTATGATAGGAGATTGAAATTTGGCTGTTTCTCCCACCAAAGGTAAGGCTTACTACCGAAACGCAGAGATTACATCACTTCTGACTTCTTAACAATGACAACATGAGAACAGCGCGCTACTGACCAGATGGCCAGATGCCACACCCATAGCGCACTATAGATGGCAGGGTTGGTTTGGTTTGGTTTAGTATTGTTATGGGACATGCATGTGGAAGCTGGTATCGTTCTTATTATCTGTTGATTGTGTCCTAGGAGGAAGGCCCGAGTGTCAAGTGCATCCCCCTCCTTTTTTGGATCAGTCAGTCTGTCTGTCTGTCTAGAATTGTCCTCTTGGCCATCAGTTGAGATCTGAGAGAGCTCAAAGGTTTGAATTGTGCTACCCCCAACTTTCCAAGCGATTGTAAATCCTCCTCAGACCTTCAGAGATACTCAGCATGTAATGGCCACCTTGTTCTGGTTTTATATCTCCGAGACTGCCACTGCCTCAAATATTTATTTACTCGTAGACACAGATACTCATAGATTACTGTATATTCCCTTCGTAATGGTGGCACCCAGTTTGTTATTTAGGGTTCATATCACAGCTGGTTTGTGTTGCAGTGGATTTCACCTCTCGTTTGTATCTTAAAGGTATTATTTACTTACATTTGTACCTAAAAAATGAAGATGTTGGAATAAGGACAATATGTATTACCTGCTGCACGAATATGTTCGGCACCACTCGACAATACCAGTGATCCCATCACGTCTCCCCGTTCCCTTTTACCTGTTTTATATATTGTTATTATGCATGAGCATGTATCTATGTGTTTATGTGTTATATGAAATGAAATACAGTTTGAACTGATATCAAACATCAAATGTGTCTAAAAGATCAAGACAAGTCTAAAATATTGTACATGTATTCCGTCTTTGCGTATTGCAGAGTTATCTTCTCTTGAGAGCAGGTATTGATTGGTACGTCATTGGTTTGTGTGAAAAAATTACGTCGTTTTCTCAAAAATTGATGACGTTATTCTCACAAACAAATGACGTAACAATCAATACCTGCTCTCAAGAGAAGATAACTCTGCAATACGCAAAGACGGAATATAAAATCATGAATTAAAAAAGACTTTATTGCCGACGTAATTCAGGACGCTACTTACAAGCATTCAACTGTGTTGAACCAAGCTTTGCAGACAATCGTTTTGTGAGCTAGCGATACGAAGTCCTGGTGCCATTAAATTTGAATTCGATTAACGGTATAGTTGATATTTTAGAAGGCTTCATTTTTGTAGCATATTAAGAGCCTTAACGACCCTGCTTATATACAGCGTTAGAAGTAGGTGGCTGAGACATCTCCAACATATTTAAGACTAACCTTAATGATATATCTTCCTTAAAACCCGTAATTTTCTGTGTTTATTTTCTCAGAACTGATTACGCCTTGATTTCATATGAGAATGACTCATTCGCATTGCTCACGACTAACTACTTGACTGACTGAAGCCGTCACGAACGTTATGATTACAAATATACACTCCTAATATTGAACGTAGTCCTAGTGTGTACTGTTTGTAATTTAAATGATGTTGAAGATTAGTTTCATTTTATGTTGAAATGTCCATATTATTCGGATTTGCGTGTTAATGTTTTGAAAAATTACTATGTAAAAAACCAAGTAGAATGTTTAAAATGATAAATTATTAAATGTAAATAACACATAAGAACTTGTCAATTTGGCCAAATATATAAACGCAGCAAATGTAAGAAGAAATCAAATAACTTAATTTTTTTCACTCTCCATACTGTTTATACATTGCTGGTATTGTATTGTATGTATTGCATGTATTGTATTGCATTGTTTTGTATTGTATTGTCTGTAAATATGTAAATATATCTCCTTTTTGGAACCGATGGGTCAAATGACCCAATGTAATAAAGAACTTGAACTTGAACTACACAGCCTTAAACGGTAAAACAATTGTCGGCATTAATATGCGCAGAAGTGTTTGTCTACTTTGAGAAACGGAAGTTATTGCCTTACCCGGAATCCAACCCTAACTGTTTTGTTTACAACAAGCCCACGAGTTTTGTTTCAGTTTCGAATCATCACTTTTTCCAAGTATTTTCGCTTATATTAAGCATTGAAAATAGAAAATATTCGGGTTGTTCCTCATCACGGCGTTTCAGGCACTATGCCTCTTGTTACGATACTAGCACAGATTTCTCAGGAAATGATTCTATTGATAAATAGTATTAGATCAGAAGTACTAATTTAGTTTTGCAGAAGGGCTGTCTCAAAATCAGCAAACAACTAAGAGAAATAATAATAATAATATACAATATTTGTATAGCGCCCTATCTAGCTAGAATAAGCCACTCTAAAGTGCTTTACAATACATAGATATATATAATTCATACAATAAATATAATTAGCATATACATCAATCAATACGAGTTTTTAGGAATTCGCAGGAGCTGCCTTATCAGGCGCTAGCTACTAGTCCTATGCCACATGGCTAATATCCCCCATTTGTGTGTATGCCCGTGTGTGTATGGAAGATGTGCTTTGTTGTGTGAAAGATGTGCTTTGTTGTGTGAAAGATGTGCTTTGTTGTGTGAAAGATGTGCTTTGTTGTGTGAAAGATGTGCTTTGTTGTGTGAAAGATGTGCTTTGTTGTGTGAAAGATGTGCTTTGTTGTGTGAAAGATGTGCTTTGTTGTGTGAAAGATGTGCTTTGTTGTGTGAAAGATGTGCTTTGTTGTGTGAAAGATGTGCTTTGTTGTGTGAAAGATGTGCTTTGTTGTGTGAAAGATGTGCTTTGTTGTGTGAAAGATGTGCTTTGTCGTGTTAAAGATGTGCTTTGTTGTGTGAAATGAGAGTTCAGTCAAAAGCGTTCAACAGAAATTGTGTAATTGGAGAGAGAAGCACCTGTATATAAAGTCAAAAAAGCTATGACGGACAGGTAAAAGGGTTATTGTTTATTTATTTTTTATACATGTGCCATTATTATTTACTTGTTTATTTTTATTATTATTCACTATGTTTTGGCGTTGGAGGTCCTATTGATCAGCAGCTTGTGTTTTTCGTTGTACAGAGAAGGTTGGTATTGTAAAACAAAATCAATTAGGCCTCTACGTTTGACCTTCAAGTCTTACATGTACCACACAGTTGTGACCTTGATTGATGAGTATATAATCACCTCTATAAAATAACTTACCAATGGGTAAATGATCCCAATCAAAAGTGAGCTACCGCAGTAGATATTCTCCGATTAGGCTTCTACTGTGGAAGTTCACCTTTGACAGGATAAGCCTGCCACATCAGATGCATGTAGAATGACAGTTGCTTCACCTTCATGTCAAAGCTTCCGTGAAACATAGCATGACCCATGTCTCCCTAATAGTACACACTTGATCAATTAAACGAGACTTACCTGTTGAAATTTGATTGGAATTCTACTTAATATTGTCTAGGACGGAGGAAGTACATGGCCACCAAATAGATATTATGAAGGTGAAAAAACAAATCCTTTGTTTCTCATTGCTTTTAGTACATCACGGTCTAAGATAATCCTTCAGAGGCGAAATTGTTCTTTTACGTTCTCATGACAATTAATAGACGTGACTTTAAACAAGTTGTATCAGAGGTATTCTATTTACAAGTCAGTAACAAAGAAATGTAATATGATTTTGACCGCGATACATTTGAACATTACAAATCAAAAACTTATCTGGGGCTGTACTCATTATATGTATCTGAAACTTTTTATTGAATGTGAAAACATGAATTTAAACCCTGAGCTTAACATTTAAATGCAAAGTTTACAAATTAGGACTTTTTGAAGAAATTTAACAAGAGGAACATGTTGATTAGGCTTCCGTATTGATTAACAGTTAATTTCTACCGTGTACCGCATCATCCTTACAATACTGACTTTTAAACACTGAATACTGTTAATCACAATCGGTAAACATTGCACTCGAAATTCCCAAAGAGTAATGTCATTATGGAGCTACTGAAATATTAGGACCCCGCTCCATGTCTCTAACCCAACCATCGGCCCATCACCAATGTCAGTCTGTCATTTTCATACAAACAAAATAGCTGACACAAACAATAGGACAACCTTTTTCTGTAGAAAAATGGTAAAGCGAACAAGTAGCAGACGGACGAATGTAGGCTAGCAGACGGACGAGTGTAGGCGTCGGTGAATTGGGCAAAGAAAACGTGATTGTTGTGTCACTCATAGACGGGACAAGGAAATATCATAACGGGGAAATCCTTTTGAGGATCATGAAAAGTAATAAAGACATAACTGGCTTTTATGTTATCCTATAGAAATTGTTTGGTTGCCTACGTGCATAGACCAGTACACCTACGTACTATTATCGGTCAATTAGTACAGAAACAAATGCTATAAATCACGGACAAATAAAATAATCTTCAATAAGTGTTTTTGAATACGTTATTGTTTACTGGGTAATAACGTGGCAACATCTCTCTTTTAATCAGAATGCGGATATTGCCGAAAACAATCAAGACATATGAGACAACAACACTATCCTACTGATAGATGTTTTTATTATTTTCCGCATTCTTAGAATTTAAAATGTGTTAAACATATTTATGTGAATCATCGCCCATCATCTTAATGAATAACACTGTGAAACTTTTCTCAGATACGGTGATGCACGTAACAAAAGTCATTTTATGTGCTGGCGGAGGTGTACGTGTGTTGAGAGAAGCTGACTCGTTATAGTTGGCAGGAGATCTTTGATTGTGTTTAAGACTTAAGGTACCTATGTTTAAGTGTTACATTTTTTTCGTAGTAATAGTTGCGTTTACTAAATGTTTAACAGTCCAATATCAAATAATATTAATTTGTAAAGTTTTCAATTTTGACAGTAGATATACTTGTGTACGTTGAATGTGTCTCTCTATTATGTTCGAAGAGAATTTTGTGTCGCTTCGTGTTGATAATAGGGAGGTTGTTTTGGTAGTATCTTTGTGTTACAAGTAAGGTCACGGGAGAATGATTGGTCTGATAAGTGGTTCTTTGTGTCATTGACATCGCCTGGTCATAATATATCAATTAAAAGGATACATCATCATACATTCATTATATCAAACCATGTAAAAAACAAATCAACGATGTTTAAAATATTTACTGTGCAGACAAATACAAGTAATATTTCCGCAATCAAAATCTGAAAAAAGACGGACATTTCCATATCATTGTTACAATTCAAATAAAAAAAAACTATCAACTTCAAATATAATGTTTTATAAACATTGTCTTTGTAGGTGCCGTACCTGCCAAGAAAGCAAACATATACAATGCAAGAATTTCAAAATGTTGATTCATACAGTTATAAATGGTACAACGCCATTCTTTCCAAATAACATCAACCGTACCTACTTATCCCGTCACTATAGAACCTATTTATCCCGTCGCTATATAACCTACTTATCCCGTCACTATCTCTAGAACCTTCTTATCCCGTCACTATATAACCTACTATAGCACCTACTTATCCCGTCACTATATAACCTACTTGTTGGATAGATAAGAAGGTTCTATAGTGACGATATAAGTAGGTTATATAGTGACGGGATAAGTAGGTGCTATAGTGACAGGTTAAGTAGGTTCTATAGTGACGGGATAAATATGTTATATAATGACGGGATAAGTAGATTATACAGTGAAAGTTTAAATAGGCTTTGTACTGACGATATAAGTAGGTTATATAGTGACGGGATAAGTAGGTTCACAGTGACGGGATAAATCGGTTTTATAGTGATAGGATAGATAAGTAGGTTCTTTAGCGACATGATAAGTAGGTGCTATAGTGACGGTTTAAGTAGGTTCTATAGTGACGGGATAAGTAGGTTCTACAATGGCGGGATAAGTAGGTTCTATAATGACGGGATAAGTAGGTTATACTGTGACAGTTGTAATAGGTTCTATAGTGACGGGATACGTAGGTACTATAGTGACGGAATACGTAGGTTTTATGGTGACAGGATAAGTAGGTTCTATAGTGACAGGATAAGTAGGTTCTGTAGTGACGGGATAAGTAGGTTCTATAGTGACGGGTTAAGTAGGTTCTATAGTGACGGGTTAAGTAGGTTCTATAGTGACGTGATAAGTAGGTTCTATAGTGACGGGTTAAGTAGGTTCTGTAGTGACGGGATACGTAGGTACTATAGTGACGGAATACGTAGGTTTTATGGTGACAGGATAAGTAGGTTCTATAGTGACGGGTTAAGTAAGTTCTATAGTGACGGGATAAGTAGGTTCTACAATGGCGGTATAAGTAGGTTCTATAATGACGGGAGAAGTAGGTTATACTGTGACAGTTGTAATAGGTTCTATAGTGACGGGATACGTAGGTACTATAGTGACGGAATACGTTGGTTTTATGGTGACAGGATAAGTAGGTTCTATAGTGACAGGATAAGTAGGTTCTGCAGTGACGGGATAAGTAGGTTCTATAGTGACGGGATAAGTAGATTCTATAGTAATAGGATAAATAGGTTATACTGTGACAGTTTTAATAGGTTCCATAGTGACGGGATAAGTAGGTTATATAGTGACGGGATAAGTAGGTGCTATAGTGACGGGATAAGTAGGTGCTATAGTGACGGGATAAGTAGGTTCTATAGTGACGGGATAAGTAGATTCTATAGTAATAGGATAAATAGGTTATACTGTGACAGTTTTAATAGGTTCCATAGTGACGGGATACGTATGTACTATACTGACGGAATACGTAGGTTTTATAGTGACAGGATAAGGAGGTTCTATAGTGACGGGATAAGTAGGTTCTATAGTGACGGGTTAAGTAGGTTCTATAGTGACGGGATAAGTAGGTTCTATAGTGACGGGATAAGTAGGTTCTATAGTGACGGGATAAGTAGGTTCTATAGTGACGGGATAAGTAGGTTATATAGTGACAGGATAAGTAGGTTCTATAGTGACGGGATAAGTAGGTTCTATAGTGACGGGATAAGTGGGTTCTATAGTGACGGGATAAGTAGGTTATATAGTGACGGGATAAGTAGGTTCTATAGTGACGGGATAAGTAGGTAATATAGTGCCGGGATAAGTAGGTTCTATACTTACAGGATGAATAGTTACCTTTTTACCGGATCTAACAAATTAACAATACAGATACTACTGTTGACCAGTGCATACTACAGTGTATACACTCAGTGCCCTAAAAAAAGTTGTTATCTTGATAAACTTGTACAAGTCATCATTTAACAGACATTTTGTCAAAATTTAGAAGCCTCGCCAAGATAAGGTTTCATGATAAGGCCCAGTTCGACTCGTTTCTATTGAATGAGTAGCCGACTGTCACGTTTTATTCACCATGTCGCCGATCCTTATGTGTATGCTAATTGGGGCTCTTGTTGGTAAGTGGTTTAAAATACATCACAATTGGAGAATCAGATTAATTATAATACAATGGTGTTGATTGATTAAGCACGCAATATGAATGTAACATTTAAACTGATTCCCGTCAGAATAAAAATACGAAAAGGGAAATTATCGAAGTTTTTCTTCATACACAAACAATGTACGTATTAAACGTGTGTATAAAGTAAAACTTTGATATAGCGTATCTCCAAACTGACGAATCGTATTGAAGAGAATAGGAACAATCAAGATTTGGTGATTAGGTATTGATCAGAAAAAGTATTGTTGAAAGAGTGTTGTTGTTCGATGTTAAGATATACATTAATTAGCATACTATAACTTCTATCTTATTAACTTATATACAGTCATCGGAACGTAAGGACCAATAAATCATCGCGTGTATTTGTTTCTTTATTAGATAAATTGCTTTGGAATACTTTCATTTAAAAAAAATGACAAGGTTATTAAAATGGCAACATAACACATTGCTGATCACCTATTAAGTATCAAATATTACAAGATGTCAAATTCATCGAATAAGTAATTTCCCATTTACAAAGTTGTGTGATATTGGTTTAAAAGATTTGTAGTATTAAAAGAGGTCAGGAAATCAATGCAACATTTATTTGAATATTTTCTGATGATTGTATTATGCAAGAACAAATTTATTATCCATAACTTTGGCGTCCGTTCTAAAAGTTGATGGCGATTACTTATTTGGAGAGAGGAGTTAATGATAACCTTACAATTATGTACATTAAAACAATTTGACCTAGTTTTGTCTTTCTTTTTAGCTTTCCCTCGCATCTTTTTCGAGGGAATGGAGTGCCCGGGGTTCATTTCTCTTACGTCATGTTGCCCCACGGAGGGGGCCTCTTTCCTTTATTCACTCTCCTTTTTCACCTTTTCTCTTATGATACCAACCATTCAATCTTTCATCCGCATCATTCCAACAATATTATTATTCAATTAAATCAAAATCATACATCAATCTAACAAACAATTACTTATATTCATTAACAAATATTGACAGTACGTACATATTTATTAATACATTAACCTATTTCTACCATTTTAGGAGTGAGCGTGTCCGAGTCTGGGAACGAACATCACTGTTACAGCTGTTTCCATGTTGCTTCTCCCCATGACTGCGGAACGATCGAGCAGTGTCCTCATGGCAAGGTAGACAACAATAACAGTTATTTCACGATTAAAATATAGAAAATAGTCATGCAACATTCATGCAAAACACTTTATTTTGTAATACACAGTGTGTATGCCCGAGCACGATATATTATTGCCTGCCTTCGATTCTTCTGCTGGATTACTACATGTAGCAGTCCTGAGGTTGGCCGTAGCTACATATACATATTATGTCTAAACTGATGAAAAGTCCAGACTTAATATGATAAAAAAAAAAGTGTGCACTGTAGTTAACTCAAGTGCACATAGATGTGAACTCCACTTCTCTTCAGTGTTAACTCCAGTGCACAAGCTAGAAAACTGGAGTTAACTTTTCTAACTCCAATGATCCAGATCAGTTAGGTTTGATCCCAACTGAACGAAATGCTAGTTTAAGAATAAATGACCTGTTTCAGTCAAAAGCTGTACGTTGGTAACGCAGTAAGGGCTTGATATGGACATTTTCCTTTTAATTGCACATCTGCTTCGAAGCTCGTAGGACAGTGACTTTTCATTCTTTTGAACTTCCGTTTCGATGATGAGTCCAAAATGGACAAAAGAACGTGTCACCGTGTAAGTCGTTGGCGATGCTAAATAAATCGTTTCGTTGTTATCACAATAACGTTTATGTGGCGTACTTTCAGGAATGTTTTGCGACCCAATACACCGGACCGGACTCAAAAACGTTCTACCACCTAGGATGTGCCAACCACGGAGTAACATACTTTTATAATTAAAAATAAGAAAAGATATCTTAGATAATGCATTTCAAAGGATTATCCTTGATTTTTCAGATATGTTTTAAAACTTATATTTTTGTTTCCTTCGAATTTGAACATGACAATAATTATGATCGAACCATGTTCCTTTGAACAATTTAACAATGAAAGGGAGGTAACTCTACATCATTTTAAGAAAGTTTTAATTCAAACGTTATTGCAATGTCAATATAAAATGCTTAAATTCTCCCAAATTAAATAAAATTCACGCTTACTTCAACATTTTTGAGTTTATTTCTCTAATAAACTTCAACAACTGAGTATCCCTTTTCAGGCAAAAGTTTTGTCGCTCATAAACAGTTTTCTAACAATTCCGTGCTATGCATTTAATACAACATAATAAAAACAAACCAGTTTTTTCCCATGTATATTGTTACCTCTGTACGCTATTTCATTTGCTTAGACATGTATTCGTTTTTATTTTGCTATAAAAAGACTTGCACGCATACGGCCAGCTTTCACCCCCACACACATGGTTGGCATCACCCATATACGTTTGAAGAGGTCCTGTGTGGACACTGCTGTTCTACCCCAGGATGTAACATGAACACATGCGATCCATCTTCGTAACCAAGGTATGTATATATCTACACTCACCAACTAATTCAATACTTAATTAATATGTTTCGTAAGTAGCCAATCTGGATCCGTTTTTCAGAAGCTTGGTTATTTTAACTGTAGTATAGTTATCTCACATTTGTAAATTTTTGAAATTTAAAAAACAATTATAATATGGAAGATCTTGTCTTTTCCTCCTTATTTTGAATCCTTATTTATGCACATGTAGTTTTAGTTTTACTGAAAAATTTCAATATCTAAAAATATAATCAATATACAAAATGAACGCGGACATGAATCACTCGGCTAATTTATAATAATCGTTAACTTGTCATTTTATAATACAACTCTTAGACTATTGTATTGTATTGTCATCAGTTTTGTATCAATTCAGAAAAAAACTAAACCATATAATAATGATTTAGATATCAATTCTTTTATAGAATAGTCATATCGAAATAATCTGTTGCATTGACCTTTTACGTAGAATATTCAAGTTCGTTGTTCAGATGCTTGATGAGAAACATGAGTGACCACTTTCGCTGAACTAAATATCTGAATAGGCTCCTTGTTTGTATATTGACTCGCCTATTCCGTCTTTGCGTATTGCAGAGTTACCTTCTCTTGAGAGCAGGTGTTGATTGTTACGTCATTTGTTTGTGAGAGAAACGTCATCAATTTTTGAGAAAACGACGTAATTTTTTCACACAAACCAATGACGTAACAATCAATCCCTGCTCTAAAGAGAAGATAACTCTGCAATACGCAAAGACGGAATTATCATTATGGTGCATTGTATTAGGAAGTCAGCAAAAAGTTCCTTATAGTTTAACTGTATATTAAATACTTTGATATTTGCTTATATGCTTTCTTTGCAGGTACCTGAAGTAACGACGGAATTAATCCTTCATTGTAATTATCGTTACAAATAATAAAAAGCTGTTTAATGAAATGTCTATGCGATGAATTTGTAAATCACTTGGCTGTCAAGAAAGTCTCGAAGTTTAATATTTTCCTAATGAATACTTTACGCTGGACAAACATGGTAGCATGGAGTGGAGCGAGATGGAAACTTTTTGTTTTTGTTTGTTTGTGTTTTACGTCCCATTTAAGGACGTCCCAGGGTTTGGTGGCGGAGGAAAGCCCGAGTTCCCGGAGAAATCCCACCGACCTACGGCTAGTACCTTGCGACTTCCCCACGTAGGTCTCGAACCCGCGACCCTGTGGTGGAGGGCTAGGGGTAACAGAATGTCAGACGCCTTAACCACCGTGGAAACTATTGTCGAATTAACGAAATACAGCTAAAATAACCAGCAGTGTGCTTCACTTTGTTTAGCAACAATTCTTAGTCTTTAAATTTACCCAGGCAGCCAGATTGTAATTGCTTTATTTACCTTAAAATAAATAATAATTTCAACACCATCATTGAACGACGCCATTTCGTGCCCAGTCTGTGTCCGTTAATCTATAGCACACATTATTTAAACAGTGATAATTCTACGGTCTAAAATTACTGAAAGGAACCACAGGAAAACTATTAACAGGTGTTTTTTTTCTACTTTGGGTCTGCTTCATTTTTAAGTGATAACTTTTTTTTGAAGAGGAAATTCCTTCATTTACTAAGATGTAAGAGTGAAATTTTGAGAAAAAAATATTGAAAGGTTGTAACAGTTGGCGCAGTTAATGCTGAAAGTTGATTGTTGATGCACAAATATATAGGTATTGAAAAGGTTTTTTTCATGTACATTGCGGCAATAAATAGCAGAAGATGATCTACATATCCTGTGGAGCACGTTAGCGAAAGCTGCGACTTTTATACAAGTCAGACTTGTACCCTGCCACTACCAGAGCTTGCTTCAAAATGTTGCTAAAGTGTATGTACTGTATAAATGAAATGTATAAATAGGGCTTTCTAGAGAGCCCCGGACATTTAGAAAATGGAACAATGTCATCACGGGACACACTGATTCCGCTTGTTGAGTTTGAAGTGATAATGTCACCGGGGTGGTAATATAGTGCCCTTTAAATGAGTCAAAAACTATCTCAAGCCGTGATGGATATTGTTTTCCCTGTCGGAAGAAACGTAAATTGGATATTTTGAGAATGTTCTGGGGTCTACCGTTTTTTGGCTATTTCCCAAATTCGAAGAAATACATGAAATGCGAGTAGAAACATTGACTTAAACAGCAGGTTGTCGTAATGTGAAGCACATATTCTGTCCAATGCCAGCAGCAGCTGGTGTATAATAGGCTTAGTAATAGGTTTTCGGAAATCTTGTTTACTCCCCAATTTTTTTAACCTACCAACATTTTTCGAACTATGAAAAATTTAGTTGGATCTGTATAACCACTAAGCTTATGCACATATGATATGGCTGACATATAGCTGGTAATAATAGAAGGTGCAAGGTTTTGTTCAGACAAATGCGCAATAAACATGACTAAGGTATACACGTCTATGTACTCCGTATGCAGAACTGATTGGACAAATTGTGACAATGATACAAACACTATATGTTACATCTGCTGTCAGCTAGGTGTGAACGCAGAATTGACAAGCACTAGAACTTTTCCATTTAAATATGTAACAGATTGTCTGCCAGTTGTGTTGGGGGCTTGTCCATATGCGGAGCCGCCAATACGAAACAATGGGACCTGCAAACGAGACAGGTAATCAGCCAGGACATTTTCTTTACCCGGAATATGTTTAGCATGGAAACGAATGTTGAGTTGCAGAAAAAAACTATGACTAGCCCACGCAATAGTACCATCATGTCAGGGTTGGGAGATGTCTGTTTGTTTATAATAGACACTACTGTTTGATTGTCCGAAAAGAACAGACCTGACTTATTTTTGAGCAGATTTTCGCCCAAACTTCAAGCGCCACTGTGATTGGAAACAGCTCCTTAACATTAATGTGATATAGTTTCATGACATCTTGCCATTCCCCATAGAACCAGTGACATCCACGTATAGCAGCAAACCCACTAATATGAAAAGGCAAAGCCTTAAAAGAGCGTAGCTTTTGTTGATCTCTGATATTTACTGATTCAGAATTCCGCTTTTAGAATGAGATAAGATAAACGTTATTTAAAGTCGGCTAGTCTAGGAATAAGAATAAAACCTAAGCTCTAATGAGAGTAAGCTTAAGACCGACATAATAATAGGGGAGGTCGGGACAAGTTCGGCCTATTTTTTTTTTTTATTAAAGTCCGTTCTGGGAGTATGGCAGCACGTCCGTTTGACAACATTATTTAATTATCCCTGTCTGAAGATCGGATGGCCGAATGAGCCCCGCCATGGGATAAGTTCGGACAGGCATTCGAGTAAGTTCGGCCAACGGTGGAATCAGTTAATCATGACGTCATAAAGCAGGCAACGTCAGATTTTACCGCCAATTTTACGACTTTTTATGTGATACATGGGCCGAACTTGCCACGGTATTATATTATTAGCCGAACCTGTCCGGGCCCAAATTGATATTACAATAAATTCTTATCGTACAACAATATGGTAGCGAGTGCTTGGCTTGGCCTTTATGTATTTGAAGCTGTCAGTGGGTTACATGTTTGGCCGTAAAAAAGGAGCAATTCCGTTTACAGAAAGTTCGCATAAGTAGAAGCGAGATCATGATTTTCTTTCTACCCTCTCAAAAGCAATTTTCTCTGGTTTAGTAATTTTACATTAGAGTTTTTCTCACCATTTTTTTGTGTGAATGCTTAGCCAACTATACTGTTAAGATGCTTAAAGTTGTAAAATTTTTCTCAAAACAAAAATATCAGGGGTGGCCGAACTTGCCCCTGTCTCCCGTATGCAGATTTTTTGTATCATTGATGATTGGTAAAACATTATTCACAATATAAATTTGTTGCGTCAATGACGCAATTTTCTTCCAGTCAAGGCTTAAGTAGATACTAGGTCGGATGGCGCAGTGGATAGCGCGCCTGTCTTCACCAAGATGGCCAGATTCATGAAGCAACAATAAAGAGATAAATGCAACGGACATAAGTTCCAAGATTTTCCGGTTATTTTTCTTCCGTCCGGTGAAAGGCAGGTGCGCTATCCACTCCATCACCCGACCACCCATTACAGTACAGAAATTACCTGTGTAATAAGTATTTGACTATTCTATTTCAGTTGTAAATTGTGGTATGCTTAGCCTCAGACTTTTCCCATGTAAATATTTAAGGTCGATGAGGTAATTTGTGGAAAAACTTCAAAATCTTGCTGTTTCAAATTAGTGATTGTTTTTCTCAAAAAATTGTTAAACATCAATTTCAGAATATAAAACAGGCATTTTTGTTCAGGCACAGAATATGTATTTAATACCTTTATTTTAATTTTATTTTTGTAGATAATAAATAACAAGTTCTGTTTTGATTTCCCATCATTTTATTGGCCGAGGGAAATTTTAATACTCATCGCCTAACACTACACATTTTAGCCTCACTTTCTCCATCCAGTAAACACTTTGACATGATGAAAAACCTATAAAACTTGTACAGCCACAGAAAGACAGTCCTTAGGCCAGTACAAATGGACTGAAAAGAATAGTCACTGAAATGCACTATTAACCTAAGAAGTAGATTTCAAACACAGTATGTCATCATTCCTTTGTTTGGATAGATCACCAATATGAGATTAATTACATCTAGAAGTAGGCAGGGAAGGTACTTGCAAGTATGTTTGTAGAGCTAGCAGGCATATGTTGCCAACTCAGTGACAATCCTTGAAATTTAATTACATGTAGTGTACATATATCAACAGAAAGTATATGCATTAAAAAGCAGTTGATATATACCTGGTACATACAAGGTTTGTTGATCATCTATGCCATACTATATACAAAAATGTCCAGTTTTATTGCGAAGTAAAAAAGTTTTATAAAAAGAATGCTTTCTTAACACATTCATTATGAACGTAAAAATCAACATTAAACAATCAGAAACGATGGAGTTCAGGGGGAACATGACCCTTTCTCAACCTATACAACCCCCCCCCCCCCCCCCCCCCCCCCCCCCCCCAATCACGCTAACCATACTGAACACAAAGTGGTATTGTTACGCCGGGAATGACCCTAAACCCTTTACCATTCCATGTTTGGGTATTTAAACCTGACTTTGGCAAGGAAACTTTACCAAAACACAAAGTCCAAACTCAAATTTTAGTGCTTAAGCCGGTTTCATATTATTTTCAACTCGTTCGACATAAACGTTGTCTACACCTTTGACAATATCAACGATGCGCACCTATCTCCACATAACCCGCCTATGCACGGGCCCTGACAGCACGTGTGCAGGTGAACCTGCCCGTTGTGAAATGGAAAACTGATACAATTCACCATCAATACAAATTATATAATACCTGTACAGTTTAGTATTATTTACAAACTATGTTCGACAAACTACCCAGACGCTACATCTCACGACACACATTTAGGCTATAAATAGCCGTGACAAACCGCCGCTTAGGCTATCCTTAAAACTGATACAATCACAAATAGTTCTGACCAACTGCGTATTACTCACTTTGTGTAGCATACCTAGCATCGACGATACGTCTGATAGCTGCACCCCGAACACTGCGGACATATTTTGGCACACCGTACTGTTGATTGAGATGGACTCCGTCGGGCGTAAAAATGTTAACTTCACACTGTTTCAGTCCCATGTGCTTGAATTAAGTAGTGAATACTATGACTACGCGACAAACGAGCCTTCAGTTCCCTATTCACTGTGCATACTCTGTCATTGTAGACCTCGACAGGAATGCGCCTCGTTGACTTACGAAACAGAAGTTGCATAATGCAAACATGGCGTATTCCAAACCCGAACACCATCCACTCAGCTACAGCCACAATATTACTCGCGATCTTTGAGAGACCGAAATCAAAACAATCAACATCATTTCCACCAATTTGTAGTAGCACTGCATCGGGTCGCTCCAACGTCAAATGGGAAGAGAAATCAAGGGAAGTTAAGTCACTCACTTTCCCGCCACCTTTTTTCCAAAAACTTGACCACCACATCAGACTCACTCAAGTTAAGATCTCCCAGTCGTTCCTGGGCCTAGACACATCATCTTTCAGTCGTCTGATATAGTTATGACCTAACACGGATAACTTAACCGTCACACCATACACACTGTGCCCCGGAAGGACAACAAAATCACTGAACTATGTCGACAATAAAAAAATGAACAACACTTCTTACCTTTGGCCCCTGACAAAATTTGTTCAAGTGACGCTATCGCCTGTCACGTGACATGTGTTCTTGCCTGTAAAGCGGTAAACAGTTCATGGTATGTTAATATTAATAGGCAAAAGCAAGAAGTCCTTCCACCTATAAAAACAGTTCTACACAAAATATGCAAATCCACACTATAAATGCAATTAAATTTACTTTGTATTTAATTATTATTTTTTAGATGATAATTATAATCATTTCCTTACAATATGGAAACGATTCTCGCCGAAATGCTTACAACTCATATTTTTAAAATATGACCAAACTATCCTTGTTTGATGACACTGATACAGGCCATGTTTATTTAACATAATGATATCATTACACAAATTTAGGAAATCTGATGGTTATTTTTGTTTCAATTGTTTGTTTTTTCACTGATATATTTTCCTAACAAGCTAGTATACTTATGGGAGATACTCCCAGAGCCCATTTTTTGTTTTGTAAGGACTTTAGGCAACCGTTGCATTGCCGGCTCTGTACTGAAAAAAGGGTATTTGCTTGTGAACCGGCCTTGTAACATATTGATAATTCGCCAGTATAACCCACACGATCAAGCTGTATGTGAGCTTTGCCCGTCGTATGTATAACTGAATTGCTTTTATGTCTTAGTGTTACTCATAACATTTTGCCTTCGTCTAAGTATATGAACCCTGAAAGACCATATATACAAGGACACTATTAAATGTCAACACTTTCAAGAGGCGTTGCAGGGTTGCAATTTTTTTTCAGGCTGTACTGCTCGTTATATAGTTAAACATATAATAGTAACGTGTGCACATATGACGAAATCTCATTTAAAAAATTAAAATGCATTTATTCCGTCTTTTCGTTTTGCAGAGTTATCTGCTCTTGTGAGCAGGTATTTATTGTTACGTCATTAGTTTGTGTGAGAAAATTACGTCGTTTTCTCAAAAATTTATGACGTTACTCTCACAAAGAAAAGACGTAACACTCAATATCTGCTCACAAGAGCAGATAACTCTCAAATACGAAAAGACCGAATATGTAGATACTAAAGACATTCGCCTACCTTAAGCTTCCCCGATAGAAAAGTCAGAACACATTTTAAATAAAGAAAAAAACACATACTTAGAATAAGCCATAGATAATAAGTTCATCTACATTTGGTACTTTAAAATGTAAACCCAATAAGCTGGATAGCCGTGCATACTGCTACATGTACATTAATTAAAGTACTTAGTAAATCACGGATAATACCGTCTTTCACAGAATTCTGTAGTTATAGGCGGCCATTGGTTTCATACTAAGGTATGCTGTAAGAAGGTTAGATGCTGATGAATATAATACAAAGTAAATGTTTGTATATTTATTTGTGAATAACGACAAACAGCTGTCCAGCTTAACTTGAGTAGAAGGGCTTTGAGATATTTCGGACGAATCATAAGGTGTAAGTTGTTCTTTCTATTCAATACGGAAAGGCGAATAAAGGCGAAAATTAAACTGCAGCGAAAATTTCCGGGTATACAGTATATATATATATTGTACTACACAAGCTCATCCTCTTCACTGATTTGAATCTCAATTTAGCCAGCAGGTAAAGAAAATAACTGAATATACGTGACATGTTTAAATAACAAACTGAACACTTTAAATATCCCCTTTGATAACCTCCATCGAATTATAATAATTTGTTGAATTTTTTGTTGCATTAAACAGGAAGCAAATCACGAAACACGAAGGTATTAAAGATGTAATAAACTAGTATGTATTTAGAATTAAGTCAACCATCAAAACTATCTATTTACAAAAATATTATCCCACATATTTTCCGACATTTTCTGAACATATGTAACCTAGAAGCAGTCGTGCCGAACGTCAACACACTAAAGACGTATCCACCCATCAACTCTCGCCTGTAAATACAGTCACTTTACCTTACTCGTCTGATCATAGATTTTATATCCGTGTACGTGCGTACGACTTCTCACTGCCGACCCGTAAAGGGAGAGTTATAAGATGGCAGAGTTTGGGTACGTACTAGGGTTACTCCTGGTTACTCTTACAGAACTCTCAGCACAAGGTAAGTCGGCCACTGTTTAATTTTGTACACTTTCTCGATTTCAAAATACGTTTTTATTGTTGTTTTATCAATAACCTTTCCGTAGAAATATAGATTTGTTTGTCCTTACAGCACGTATATATATTTAGACTTCATACACAGATAATGAAGAAGTTAACATTATTTCAAAACGTAAGAAGAAGGTTAATATCAAGTTATGTGCATGGCTAACAACAGATTTGGTATAAGCATTCAGCATTCAAATTGTTCAGTGTGCACATCAAAAAACCAAGGCAACAGATCCTTTTTGTTTTCGTACTTTCTTTTCGCGTTTAGATTCGTCCCTTCTTGTCCTTGTGTATTGATGCAGTGGTTTATTTATTTTTATATCCATTTAAAATCGGTGTTGACAAAAGAAATTCATGGTTATGCAAAACCGAGACAGCATAAATTAGTTGCAAAATATGCAGACCATACCCGACGATCCGTTTTATTCATAGATAGTTATTGATATCGATCTAGATAGTGACAGTCGATTCACATTACATACGTGTATGTACATGTAACATGATTTACATATAACCAAGTACTGGTGGAGTGATCACAATAATGGCCGATACTGAATTGTCTTCCTAAAATTCACTGTATGAGAATGAAATAGCTATATTTAATCAGTATAACTACATCGTTATACACATTTTTGATATATAACATATGTAATCAAAAACGTTTTGACGTCAAAGGTTTAAAATATAGGATAGCATGAATAGACAGTAAAAAAACTGTAGTTTTTGGCGTTTTCCTGTGTTTTGATACTTAATCTATGTGTTATTCAACGAACCGTAGATAATGTATGTTTCTTTAAAACTAAATATTAGGGGTGTATCTTTCCGTTTTTATTCGTAAAACATGCATTCGTGGTTGCCAAACGATGACAGAGAACTTCAACATTTCGAGAAAATTGACACCATGTCAACACCATGTCAACATCATGCAGTTCCTGTATGTTCATAACATGAACATCGCCATCCCTAAAAATATACTTCCTATGAATAGTCAGTTGAATAATAAGACTAGTGTACCCAAATTAATTATCGTATGGGGAAAATTATGTGAAAACCCCTGAAGTATTTGTTTTCTGTGTCATCCGCTAGCGTGAATTGAAGAATCTTAAATTAATCCGCTTTCATTTTGCAAAATTTGGGACCTCCGCCACCTTCCCCTTTCCTTACTTGCTCGAGGTGGTTGACACTGTCTCTCTGGGTTCCTCTGTTTAGGCCGTTGTCTGAATAAATTTGACCTATTGGCGTGTCATAATTTCATGTCAAGGTCATGGCATTTCAGTGAGATGGCACTTTAAGAGTAAGAGGGCTTTTGAGTGACCCCACCATCAGCGGCCATCGTCCCCTTATAACTTTAGTTGTCATGATGACGCCAAACCTAGCAGAGTAAAATATATCTGTGATCGACCATAGCTATATTACCTGGGTTTCTCGACGTCATATGCACCAGTTGTATAATAAAGCTATTCAAAGTTGTTTTCTCCTCTGGCTTTTGTGTGTATAGGCCTTTTACGTGCTCTACGGGTTTAGGTAATTATCGTATTCTTTACTCTACCCATACACTTATGTTAGCAAAGTGTAATGGGCTTGTGTATAAGTAGTGTTCGACTAGGTAAATATGAAGGCCTACATCCTTACCTGTACTATTCCATTTGAGAAATAGTCAACATATGTGCGTGAATTATGGTTGAATTTATAACGAGGGTGCACAATAATGAATTGATAATTTTTCCAGCATTTCCGAATCCAGAGTTGTATATTTCACCATGATATATAAATATATGTTGATTATATCCATTCAACATGTACCATGCAAAATGTGATGGAAGCCTTTTTCTAGGCTACCTCATCAGTGGGCATGACCCTTTGATAAGCACGGTGACCTAGATATAATCTTACTATTTGAATGTTGTTCTTTTGCACACACTAACACGTGATGTCTACATATCTCCATTTCACAACAAGCTGTTCGTTTTTAGCATGTCTGATCCTATGGGCAGTTCAATTTAGCATGGATATATTGGGGAAGTATTGTTTTTAAATGTTTAGTCGCCATGCGGTCGACAAACGATAAACAATAAACACTGACGTCATGCTTTGTGCCAGATGTTTATTTCTTTCAATCAAAACCACCAATCTTTCGACATCGGTTGTCCACACATGAAATCAACATCTGACAGAATTAACGACACTATTTCTAGTCACCTTCGCGGTAAGTTCAGCTGAACATTCCATTCTGGCCATGAACTCTTGAAAAGTTTTAAATAAATCCAGAGGTTAAATATATGTTCTTTTGTTTACCTGTTTACCTGCTATCAAATCTTCACTACATATAAACTGAAATGCGGGAACCCTCATTAGACAAATAAAATCATCCATTTGCGGGTGAGGTTTTTAGAAGAGCGTTGGTTTGTTGGAATAATAATTAAACACACTCGCACGCACGGTCAATGGTTCAATAATTCATGGGTATTAACCAATGAAAAGTGTCGTTACATCGCAAACGTGGTAGAACACTGAATATTTCATTAGGGCATGGCATGCATTCATACAGGATACAGATAATATATATAGATATCATAATTCTACAGATTGATAAACATGTTTAATCGTGACGCCAAAATAAACAATACATTTTGACGTCATTATTGATGATGTCAGAATGAACGAAATTATTAGCAGGGCAATATTCAAAGTTTAATACTATATAAGAAAGTGCGAAATTAATAAGCTGAAAGATAAAAACACAGAAGGATGTTATTAATGAGGAACGGAAGCACGACAATCGTGAGATCAAAACCGTAACATATATGATACAAGTTGATGATGAGATGACCATTATAATCATACTGTAGGTAAATGTCGTGACACAAAGCTTAAGAACATGTGATATCTTTGGATTTAATTTCTTCGGGATAAAGGAGATTCAATTAAGCTAATCTCTTAATTCTTGCCAGATACAGGCAAACTATCATCAGTGAATGAAATATGAATATAGAATTAAAGAAACGGCCGAGTATCTTTTACATTTTCTTGAATATGTAATAACCTGTTTGTTTAAATTCAAACGAATACATACATGTAAGAAACTTTGAAAAATTCGAGCGATGCATTCGTTCTTAATTGTTTATCCAAATAAAATACAAAACGGCTGTAATATCGTTTTAAAGGACTGACGACTGGTAGTTTTAATATCGTGTTAATATGTATAGTTTTTGTATGATTATTAAGATGATTTTGAAAAAATCTGTTAAGCAGCGTGAAAATCCAATAAAGGTAAAAAAAATCTAAACTGCGTTGTTGAATTGTCTGTTTCCTTTCTTATACGTTATAGTTATATATAATGGCATTATGTCAACAGAGACTCCGGTTACGTTCAGAACATACGAATGACAGTTATGTATACCATAGAAAAGTTATATTGATAGAAATAATTTACGGCACTGCTTTTTTTTATTTCGCCGTCAGCTTGAATAAAGAGCAAACGCTTTAGTCGATAACTATTCTTTTTGCTACCATAATGCTTTAAAGATCTCTATAGGAATTCAGCGAATGTTATACCCTGCGACAAAAACACCCCAGTCTTCGTTCCTTCATGATCGATTCCTCAAAACAAAGTTTTTATTAGCGAGTGTTTGAACAGGGAGACTGCTTAAATATTACGTGCCAGCCCAGACAGTAACATTAAACCGTCTTGTGTAATACTCTTATACAAAACAGGATCTTCAGTACAACAACGCTTTATTTACAAAATACGTGACTGTTATTGAAATCACCAGAACTGCATGTGTATATTTTTTTTCGTTTCCAATTCACTTCCTACTTAAGCACGATTTTACTACACACGTATATCTATATAAAATTAAATAAATCAGACAAAAATTTCAAAGTCCGTCTGATGGTTAAAAATAAAATAAAAAACATAGAGTTTCTAAGTACCTCCCTAGAGCTTTCACCTCTTTAGATGCTCATCAGGGGGACACTCAGATGAGTTTCTTAAGATGTGAAAGCGCTAGGGAGGTACTACATGTAAGAAACTCTTTGTATTTGTTTTTTAAAATGAAGTTTATATGTTAATATAATATTCGATACATTTTATTGTGAAATAGAGGTAGTGTACAAAACAGGTTTGGTATATACACATTCACTTTTAAAGCAGCTCCAGTAAGTATTATTAGTATAGACCGACCACATATTGTGAAATAAGGTCTTTTGATAGGGCACAATTTCAAGGTTTTCTGACAAAACAGCATTTCGTTGGTAGAAAAATTCGGTGATTACGACTACCCATTCAAACGAATCATTGCTTTATATTAAACTTGTAATTACATTGTGCACCTATGAGTTAGCGGATGAAGATTGCCTCCGAAATAAACGAAATTAAATTAAACAAATAACAAAGACACGAAATTATCGATTTCACAGAATTTAGAAATTTAACCATTGTGTTTAAATATAACGATATATTGTCCCAGTTAATGACAGTTTGTTAAATAACAGAGCATAAACAGTCATGCGTGAAATGATGAGACATTATAAATCCGTACCGAGATATAGACTGACATGTGTGTATGTGTATTTCTATACGTACTGTGTGTACTATGTGTTTCTGTTTATGATGACTTTGAGACTTTACTCTCATTCTTTAATCTGCTTATTGAGATAAAAAAAAAAGAAGCTTTCAGTTTTTACGAACAACATTTAACGCGTCACAGAAATCCATTGGGTGACGTTACATCCTGGTTCTACTTTTAATAGCGGTCATAAAATGTTATTAAAATGTTAATTCCGACAGAGACTAGACCCCCAACCGTTCAAACTGTAGAGTGTTCATCTAGATCTACATGATATACTTGTTTAGAATTCATGTTTCATTATTTTACACATATTTATGTTTTATTTAGAAATCATATCATCACAAATCTCCGATGTTTTTGCTTCAAAGTACGCTAAATATAGAGCGAGAAACGTAACTATTTATCTTGTAGACATTACAATTACATATCTATATCCTAATATCGAGCCAGCCAGATGAGGTTGTTGGTATAGGAGATACTTAATATCCATACAAATGTTATCGATTATCAATAAAAATAATAATCTTTATCAAACTTACGGTGGAAGTTTCTAATACAAAGAGAAAGTTTATAAATTGCTTGTTGTAAGCCTCCTCGTACATCCTGTATCAATACACATTAAGTAACAACAGTGGACATACATGTAGTTTCGCATGAAAAAAACTCGAGACCTTTTTTGTTTGTTTGAAATAGAAGTTCGTAACAAAGGTACATTGTAGGTTTGTACAGGTGTTCGTACAGTTCCAGCTGGAACAGGTTATGCTATATATGTATTTGGACTTCTTTATGACAAAAAAATAAACATTTTGGGAAACTTCGTTTCAGTATCTAGATTTGTCTTTAAGCAAATCACGTTTGTAATGAATTGTTTAAAAAAAACACTGTTGAAAGTTTTTATGTGTAAGTTATATCAAACACTGTTTTAGAGGCAATGATTTAGTGTGTTTCTACATGTACTTTGCTCGGGTTAGTCCACCCGTTCATTTATTCATGAGGTAGACGTCACACTGGCCTATGGTATACACACATTAACCCTCTGTACTTTCATGCGTTTCAAATAAATATCGTGGCGACTTTTTAAAACATATTTATTGCCATGACGTGCTCTCAGAGACGCACCCCAGGTACCGCCTATCTGTCTGTGATTAGGATATGGTAAAGATTTAACATCCCAAGTTGCCTACAGCCATGTATCTAAACACAGTCTCAATATGTGTACTGATGTTCATTCGATAGCACTTGTGTGGGCCACAAAGCGTGTATTTCTAAGCTGCATCGTATGATAAAAAAGTTTGATCCCGCAGTTAATTCTCATTTTAGTCGAAAATTCGCCATCTTACACACTATATATTCTACATTTGTACTTAAATTTGATAACTATGTAAGTACTAGTGTGCACTGCAGTACAAAGATGATAAGGTCTATCCTAATATATATATATATATGACTTATATAACCTGTATTCTCGCATATGTATAACAATGTATTGGTAAATCACGTACAGCCTAAAATTCAACCGAATTTTATTTTGACTTATATATAAAAATATGTAATTGAATCACATCAGATTTTTCTCTCAATATTTATCTGNCCAGATGAGGTTGTTGGTATAGGAGATACTTAATATCCATACAAATGTTATCGATTATCAATAAAAATAATAATCTTTATCAAACTTACGGTGGAAGTTTCTAATACAAAGAGAAAGTTTATAAATTGCTTGTTGTAAGCCTCCTCGTACATCCTGTATCAATACACATTAAGTAACAACAGTGGACATACATGTAGTTTCGCATGAAAAAAACTCGAGACCTTTTTTGTTTGTTTGAAATAGAAGTTCGTAACAAAGGTACATTGTAGGTTTGTACAGGTGTTCGTACAGTTCCAGCTGGAACAGGTTATGCTATATATGTATTTGGACTTCTTTATGACAAAAAAATAAACATTTTGGGAAACTTCGTTTCAGTATCTAGATTTGTCTTTAAGCAAATCACGTTTGTAATGAATTGTTTAAAAAAAACACTGTTGAAAGTTTTTATGTGTAAGTTATATCAAACACTGTTTTAGAGGCAATGATTTAGTGTGTTTCTACATGTACTTTGCTCGGGTTAGTCCACCCGTTCATTTATTCATGAGGTAGACGTCACACTGGCCTATGGTATACACACATTAACCCTCTGTACTTTCATGCGTTTCAAATAAATATCGTGGCGACTTTTTAAAACATATTTATTGCCATGACGTGCTCTCAGAGACGCACCCCAGGTACCGCCTATCTGTCTGTGATTAGGATATGGTAAAGATTTAACATCCCAAGTTGCCTACAGCCATGTATCTAAACACAGTCTCAATATGTGTACTGGTGTTCATTCGATAGCACTTGTGTGGGCCACAAAGCGTGTATTTCTAAGCTGCATCGTATGATAAAAAAAGTTTGATCCCGCAGTTAATTCTCATTTTAGTCGAAAATTCGCCATCTTACACACTATATATTCTACATTTGTACTTAAATTTGATAACTATGTAAGTACTAGTGTGCACTGCAGTACAAAGATGATAAGGTCTATCCTAATATATATATATATGACTTATATAACCTGTATTCTCGCATATGTATAACAATGTATTGGTAAATCACGTACAGCCTAAAATTCAACCGAATTTTATTTTGACTTATATATAAAAATATGTAATTGAATCACATCAGATTTTTCTCTCAATATTTATCTGACCATTTCACAACAACAGGATAAAAATGACAAAGATGTTTAATAGATACTGAAGATCAGCGAGAAACCATCTGGACATATACATTCTTGTATATAGTGTCGTGTCAAGTTGATCGGTATAATATACTGTAAACCTGCTGAAGTGTGACTCTTCCTTGTTTGTAAACAGATTTCATTCTAGATTAATAGGGACATCCTGTGCTTGACTAAAAGCATTTCTAGTAATGATGAGGGATCGGTGTCAAATAATGTGTGTTACGGATAACAGATTATCCCGTAAAGAAGAGAATATTATAAGCTTAAGCGAAAGTTAAGAACAATTTTTTTTGTGCCCTTTTCTGACAGAATTTTTATTATATTGAGACCTTCAATTTTTATGTTTAAGGATGCAAAAGATCTAAAATATGAACAGATACACGCCAATGAAATAAATAACACTCAGCTGCGTTAATGTACTACAACACAATGGTCGGAAAGACAATTGGGAATATCATTTAAAAATAAGCTTTCTCACAAGTTCTTACATGTATATAGATAAAACAAGAAAAAGTACCAATATGGTAATCACAAAAGAAAACAACCATTTGAAATAACTATTTTTTTCCTTTTTTACAGAGGCTTTAATAACGGGTTTTCAATCCTCTGTCGTGAAAAATGGTTCCCTGTACACGTATCAAGGGACAGTCGACCAACTATCAAAGCAGACGACAATCGTACCTGTGATAACGCATTTCAATACCGGAGTCACCATTACTAGCCTGACCTCTGACCCCGAGAACGATGTCCTGTTCTTTTACGAATACTTCACCCAAACCATATATCAGATATCAGATTTTACATCTTTAAACGTCTATCAAGCGTCACCGGTACATGCTGTTTCCAGTTCCTTAAATACCAACATAGCCTTTGATTGGATAACCCGAAATCTGTACTGTACTGATGGTATTCTAGGATGGATATTGGTGATACACATGGGAGCTACGAGGGAGGTAGATATGGTACGAATCCTGCTGGATACCAACATGGAGTCACCAGGTGCCATCACAGTGGACCCAAAGGAAGGGTAACTGTTTAGATAAATACAACTTACAACCGTTTTATTCCTTGCATTAATTACCGATGAATCAGAGAAGGACGTTTTTTGTATACTGTATCAATTACTAATTCTATAGGTGCTTCTTAATTTTAAAGTATGTAAAAGCCGAAGAGCGACATGTTTTACCACTTGTCATAGAAGTAATACAATTGCTTTTACTATAACATTAATGACATGGCTGCCGTTTGCCTTTTAGTTAGCACCTACCTAAACTATGACTTTGTAATTGACTTATCATAATTAAATTTCTCATTGACAAAATAATTCTTTCCTTGCGCTGAGCTCTGTTCTCTGTTCATACATGTATATATGTTCTCGATTTGGAATAATTAATTGTGTTCAAAACTGTATACCGGGAGATTGTCGCACTGACAAACCTTCGCCCTGCGCTAGTAAATACATATTCGCCTAGTGTTAATTGGGTCCTTCAAATTTGATAACTGTATATACCATGTTGTTTATGTACCAGGGATGAAAAAAGCCAAAGTTAAACGGCGGAGAGAATTTCCCGGTATACAATAATGCCATGGTGACTTGCTGCTAATATGAATGCTAATTCGAACGTTGTAGTTACATGTTCTGGTCAGACATTTACAAAGGATCTCCCCGTATAGAACGAGCATACCTGTCTGGAGAGCGACGCGAGGTGATTGTATCCACCAGTCTGCTCATCATCGGCGACGTATCCGCCGACGTCCAGGAGAGACGCATCTACTGGACAGACAGGATGCGAAATACCATCGAAAGCTGTATGTATGACGGCCAGCAAAGGGAGATCATTCATCGGCGGAACAATTACGTCTTTTCCGACATCATGACTGACCTCGTATGTTATGTTGTTTGTACTACTTGTGAATACCATGGTAGGAGTAGCTATACTTTCCTTGTCTATTATCAAAACGGGTAGCACAAAGATAATTCGTGATCTTTGTCATCTGATTTTACTAGTAATCAATGTCTGTGTCATATGATTTTACTAGTAATCACTGTCTGATATCTAATTCAGAATAATCAGTAAATGGTATGATTTCTAGGTAGAAGAACCACTGTTCTCTTTCCAATCGAAAGGCGGTGTTTTTAATATGTTCAGGCACCTATGAATTAAGGTATTTAATGATATGAATATGACGATTGGATTGTTTTTTCAGGCACATGTTTGTGTCACGGAAGAATACCAGAATATTCTTTTGTGTATGTACAAAAGTTCTGCCGAGTATGTGCTGTTAGAAAGGTATGATAGACAACCATACGGACTGGAGGTATTCGATAAATCTCGGAAACCGTCGTCTACGGGTACGTATAGATGTTGTCTTTCTTATCTTAATTTTTAATAATAGTTTGAGGGGATTTTACTCACTTTCTCTTCTGTTACAGCAGTATTTTAGACAATTTGGATATCTAACTTTTGTTTTTTAGTAATCCCGACGAGTCATAATAGGACAAAAATGCTGTAGGATGTATGGTAATTTATATTTGTACATATTACCAAATGTTAAGAGTGCAATTATCAGTGTGTTACGTTCATTTGTCATAACAATACATATAAGTAAAGTATATTAGTAAAGCTTTCCTTTAATATAGCACAATAACGCAGAAGCAATAGTAACTAAAACATCGTTGTTTACACTTTATTTAATAAAGGGTTTTATCATGCCTATGTTTATATAAATGGAATCTTACACGAGTGTTTGTATGAGGTGTATAAAAAGGTTTGTATGTATATTTCATTTAATCGACTCTCTTGAAATGAATTTATGTAAGATACTCTCATCACATATTGAAATTTCATGCGAATAACGCGGACAATATGTCTTTCCATATCGTTTCCTAGTTCTTAAAATCCTTCATCTTGACTCTATGAAGACATAACATGACATCATTACATGTTAATATTTTGACGTCATAGCATATCATATAACATAAGTTAAACGCAAAATATATAAAATTGGTTCATTTAGTAACGCGATATTCATGTATCAAAACGAAGAAGAATACTGAACAATTTGGGAGGATGTGTTGTATTGGGTTTCACTAATGTAACGTGAATGACAATGCATATGATATTCAAAACCTGGAAAAGAGCAACATATTGTGATGTGGCACATTTTAGGTATATGTATTCATACACGAATTCCAAAAGCAACATGTTAAAAGTAGAATAACGACTAGTACAGATACCGTACAATAAACTAGAATATCTGCTGTATCACAAGTCTTCGCTAATGTACATAAATATATACAAACTTGGTTTGAGTTACAATCCAGTCAAAACGGATTATCCAAACTCTAACACCGTAATGACATGACTTTATGACATTATGACGTCAAAATGTCAATAATAAATATGGCAAGATCACATACATTCTTGGAAATTTGGTAAACAGATCTACAACTTGTGTTCAATTTTGTACATAACGATATTTCTGGAACGGGCCTGAGGTTTTTGCTTAGATCGGCAGATTCTTGCACACATGAAAAGCTATCGGACTCGTTTCTCATATGAGAAAAATCATAATCACTGCATGCTTGGTATTTATAGGACTAAACATTGATACAATTATAACCGTAATGTATGTTACTGTTTCAGACAAGTGTGCCCCCAAGTCCTGTCAACACTTTTGTGCTCCCACTCCAGCAGGGGCTACTTGTCTCTGCAAGAATGGTTACACTCTTCAAGGAGACGAAAAATCATGTATTGGTATGTAAGCAAGCATCGAAAACCAAAATAGATATATATTAGAATATTGGTTCCTTTATTGATTCTTTATTAAAAGAAAAGAAACAAAACCACAAGTCACATTCTTGACAAAAGGACTTAAATGACTAACGTTGAGAATGAGTTTGAAGGGATGCCTCATAATTGTTATGCTTGTAATGAGCCATGTGGAATGGTGTATTGTCAATCAGTCAACTGTTCAGGTGTGTATTGAACAATTATCACAAAACTGATCAAAAATTATGGTTTTTGTCCATCATCAATAATTGATTTAAAGATAATAACAACTGTCTAGCTACCATATACACACATACTTATAAATTCGTATGATTTGCAGCTGACCACGACTTACCAGTGAAGGGATTACTTTTGGGGAACAGTACACATGTGTGTGTGATCGACTTTCTGAATTTGGAATCCTTGCCTTTTAAAGCCCCTACCTGTTTTATAGACAATCTCCAGGATACAATCTTTCTGTCCGTGGATGTTACGTCCATGGATTTATTTTTTGCTGATAAGAGAACACGAAGTCTGAATTCCATCAATATACAAACAAGGATTAGGAAACAACTTGTCAATACGGGAATTGTGTCAGGTAAGTTAATGAACGAAATGTGAAAGCAATTGGTAGTTTTATTTCATTTATGCTGTCATTGAATTGGAAAACAGTTTTTGAAATAACAGACACAATCTCTAAAACAATTAGTAATGTGAGCACAGATAATACTATACCTCTGTGGGTATTATGTCCACAAAACGAATTTAGGGATTTTCGTTACATTTTTTCTACCGGGCTACGAATGATCCTTTACAAGAACATTTCATGATCCTAATGAACAATTCCAGCCTTTGAATTCGAAGAGTTAAAATGTGTCTTCAGGGGTGAATGAGTTAAAGTTATAAGTCAGAAATCAGGAGTAATTCGTGAAAGGACTTGACGTTAAAGTAATCGTTTTCCTTATGCTATACCTGAGAGTGTCTTGTCTCTCTGAACCAGCATGGTGGCAAAATGATCTAAAGTAAAACGGAAATTGTTTACCAAATTATGAAGAACTTTCATTAACCATAATTGTCGGTGTCTGTTTCACACGATGTTAATACTAATATTCTTTAATTTATCAGGTTTAGGCTATGATTGGGTCGGTCAAAATTTATACTGGACTGAAGCAGACACAAGGAAAGTCAAGCTCGTGTCCGTCTCCGTGGCAACACCTATGTCTATTGACCTTGTCCTTAGTACCCTCAGCCCGTCTGACGTCACAATAGATCCACATGGAAGGTAAATATACGTCTACAATTATTGTAGCGCGGTAAAATGATATCAGTGTCTTCGAAGCAAGTATTCTTTTGTATCAATGGATACAAAGTAAAGTAATTTAAACTAATCAGAGGTGTACGAATTCTAAAACGATTCTTATATTTAATAAAAACCTTCAAACACAATTGTGCGTTATTAGCTGTCCATATTTAAGTCAAAACCAAACTACTCCGATGTTTGTATTGTCGTTCCGCGCAGTGCAAAGAAGTTCCGATTTTATTTTTATAATGAACATTTTAATTGCAATTAAAATAATAAGGACAACATAAACATTTGAAATTCATTTAATACATAAATATCATTTATATTTAAAAAAAAAAAAAAGTAGTTCCATAAAAAATATTTTCCCTCGGTTTGACCAATCGCACTACCTGTAGGTTTGATTACACGTGACACGTGTGTTTTTTCCATATTCATGACAAGGCCGTATAATATAGTAAAATGGGTCAGTTATGTGATAAAACGCATATATGTAAGTAAAATGAACGGTTTTAATTTTACCAACAGAATGATTTATTGGATATCAGGATTAGGCACTCCACAAAATACAATACAGGGGATGTCGACAGATGGCGGCACGGGCCAGACAACTATAGTGTCCAGTGGCAATGAGCTGACGGCGTTGTTCTACGACACCATGGGAAATAGGTAATGTGTAATGACACAAAGCAACAAAACGCTGATAGGAAAGTTTTATGTTATACTGCTTCTGCGCAATGACGGTCCCTTGTTGGTTACTTTTATTCATTTGAACTTGTGTTCAATTACGTCATTTACATGCGCAATAAAATATCAAACAAACAAATATTGTTTTTTTGATATTGCATACATGTAATTACTGTTAAATTGGAAATTTATGCATGTGGATTTTTTTTATTGGGACATTTCCAATTAATTGTATTGTGGAAATATTCGAAATGAGCATAATAATTTTAGATTCTTTTTTCGCGAGTGGATATTTAACGCTTAAAACACAAGTATTTCTATAATGCGATGATATGCAATTATTCGATATTTAGATTATGAACTGATTTTATATTTATGGTAACCTTATGCTGTATCAGTACTGATTATTATTTAGCAATTAGAGTGTCGCATTTTAACAGGTACTGAAATGGTTAACAATATTGTCTAGCGCATCATGTCTGTGTAAATACAGAACAAATGACTCGCTGTTCCAGAAAGCGGCTAACGTATAACGGTCAACTGAAGCAACTAATTGGGATTCAGTACAAGTATTTTCTTTGACGTTATGTATATTACATAGTCCATATCATCTTTTCGTTATTTCTTTTATTATTTTAACCCCCTTTTTATTTCAATTATCTTCACATACAATGCGAAATCATTAAAAAATGATTTGTTTTAATCTGATTTTATCTTCGTCACTCACATGTTTGAAATAAATAAATAAATAAATAAATCATCATGGCCCTAAATGACCACAGCCTTCGATGGGCCGTTAAACACAAACAAACAAACAAGCATTTTCAATTATTTGAGTAATATATGTTGGTGTTTGTTAAGCAACACTTCGTTTTTTCAGTAATAAGGAACACCCAATCCGCGGAAAGTGTTGGTTTTGGGCTGGCGATCAAATGCTATTTTAGACATTATTAAAATTAACGACAGAGTGTTAGTTGTATCCATTTTATTAAACATACGTTGGTAAATAGAGAAAAAATACAGTACCTGTATAACAATTGCGGTCTCCTAACTTCGCAGATATATGACAGAAATAGCATATCCAATTACACTACATATTTGTAACGCCTGCCGTTTTGAGAATACCTGTAGGACGTGACGTCGGTAATTTTCTTTCCAGCGGAAGTACGGAGCTTGCAACATCTGCTGGTAACCTCCGTTACTGAAAATTCTAGGGAGATAACTTTTGTAGCACTTCGTTCATAATATATGTAAGAAATACTAACTTATTCAAATATTCTGATAATATTGTTAACATTTCAGTTTACACTATTTTCAATATCAATAAGAATATTTACTTTAAAATCTTTATACTTTATTCCCCTACATCGATTTTTGAACATTTATCAAATTATAAAAAATATACTGTTGGAAGGGAGACAATTGCGATATAGTAGTTACGGATGAGGACAACCGTTTCACGACAAGAAAAATAGTTCTAATACAGAAAAGCACATATAAATTATTACTTTTTTATCGGTAATTTTATTATGTGTAACATGAACATGTGTATAGCAGAAAAGTTCCAATGTTTGATAAGCCGATAACTTTGATGGTTTGTAGTTGTAAGTTTAAAAATAAGTACTTGCTCTTGAATGTATATCAATAATCGTGTTGGCATCTATTATTGCTTTATTTCAAATTTTACCTTTTACATTTCATTATTTTCCATGTCCGAATATCTTATGAACGCCTCCTTCAGACCTTACAATACTTTGGTTTCTATCTATGTTCTAAATTACGTGTATTTGAATGTGAAGAGATGTTTTTACTCTTTTACAGGATATTCTGGGTGGAGGGTGGAACATTGAAGAGTTCCTTAGGAAGTGGTAGTGATATTACTACACTTAAGGCGCTGGCTACACAACAACACTCGCAGCTCATAATCTATAAGGTAGACGTTAAAGTATCACACACTATTGTATGCCTTTTTAAAGGAGATGTAATGACTTGTTCCTTTCGATGTCATATACACAAATGTTTATTTACAAATGTAAGGTTGTTCTCCATTTTTAAACTGAAAACCGTTGAATAATATGGCACCATTACTACAGTATAAGTATAACATTTTTATAATGTACACCGTGTCTGATACACTACCTATATGAACATATAACTGATATATATATACATATATATAATCGTATTGTATTATATTTACATTTGCATGGCATTGTCACTATATAGCCTCTTTGAAAGCTGTGTCGTTGATGGGACTTTAATTACCATGCATCACGAGACACAATTCTTAGCGTATTAATACAACACTGACCGGAACTACAATATCCAATATAAATAAACATGACGGCTGCTGAAATATCGATGGGCATTGTGAGATTTGACAATGTCATTGTAAATTAATGTGCAAAATAAAAAATAGAATAAAAAACACTTTTATTACAACGAAAGCAAGACCAAGGTCTGCAATATCGTACAAAATGCACATCGGTTGAAATCACCAATGCCGGCAATGGAAACAATTTTAACGCTCATGCAATTTATCAGAAATATCGTCTGTTACACTGCACTGATCAACAGGGGTTCGTTACAAATGTCTGAAATACACATATTCTATAGACCTACTGACACATATGTTACAGACCTACTGATATGAGTCACAGCACACATAAACATTTCAGACATTTGTAACGAACCTGTGCTCCGTCGCAAGATCACTCACTTCAAACGCTATCAGTTTCACGCGTCTCGCATCCACGGTTCCTCAGTTTCTGACGACATGTCAAATAACGAGGCTGTTATAGAATCTACCGACTGTTGTCAGGTTCCCATACAATCAACAAATACATTCACGCCTGGATTCTTCACAAAATGAGCAAAGAGAAAAGTTCGAATTAACTTCCAAAAATAACTCCCTCGTGGAGGGCAAGGTCGGATTTACGGTGTTCACTGTATTTGTCCATGCGCGAAATTTGTTCCGGGGAAAAATCGAAACAATTTCAAATCTAACTTTCAGCTCAGAGTTCTATTGATAAACTTAAATCACCCTATAGACATATCATACGCAATTGTATTGATACTGAATTGTGGAATAAAATTGAAGTGTTTGTTAAAATTTCAAAGTACTACTTTGTTTGCCAATCAGCACGCGACAATACGCTGTTCAAACTATTGAACGAAATTGTGTGGACTGTCGATAAGGCGGGCATTTTTAATTTTGAATATAAATTATAAGTTAAAAAAGAACATAAGAGGCAGAGAAAACGTAAATATAAGTATTGAACTGTTTTTGTATGGTATTTATGATCTATTTGAATGACACAGCTTTGCAAGCAAACAAATCATAATGTCGCACTCCTTATCATTTAATGTCGATAATATTTCCTGCAGATGTACGCAGTTTGGATCAGCTTTGCGAGTTCTCAGATCCACACCATGTCCATGGTGACTAAACAGCTTCTAAATCGAGCCATCGACGGGTTTGGGGACGTAACGGGGATGACCATATTTGATGAAACAATACAATCACAACAACCAGGTTAGGTTTCCATTCCTTCTTTTTTGTTCAATACATTATTTGTTACATACATAAATGTCCACCACATTCGGGAAGC